ACCAGGGACAGGGCGACCAGCAGAGCGGCGATAGCCTTCATAGTGTATCAGACACTAGGTGCGAGGGTTTCTCGGCCCTTTTGAACCTTATATGCTACTACGCGGTCGTGGGAAAGGACGGAACGCAGCTGATAAGATTGTTCAAGATTTAGCCTACGATAAGCTAACCTATGATGTGTAATGGTTTTCAACTGACTCACGACAGATACGTGGCACAGGATACATATAACACTGTATCCTGTGCAGGGGATGACTCATTTGTATTAGTTTTATTTGGAAAAAGTTTGGTATGAGAAAAAATTAAGACTGGCTTGGCTTTTTTAGTAGTATCTGTCATTCCCCGACCTTTGTAGGGATTCCATGGTAGAATAGGCTCCAGTACCCACACTTGTCGTAACATCCGACTATATAGTATAGAAGGACCTAACAATCATTCACTCAAGGTCGGCATTACAGTACCAGCTGTCTGCATTGGAACAAACATACTATGTGAGAGAGCCTTATCTCGGCGTCCAGTTATCAATTGAGCATTGACCAAAAAAACCTTCATTGTAGGAATTGCAAGCAACGACCCATGACGTTTGGGTACGATGAGACTTAATGAGTTATCAGTCAAAAAACTAGAACTAGAAACCTATAGGAAAAACACACAAAAAATACTTTCAGAGAAGTAGGTCCGAAGGCTGGGGCCTGAACCCGGTAGTCTGGTAATACATGGTGTAAGGTCATTGTCCCATGCTTTTCTATACTTGTAATCTGCGGACAAATGAGTCCGTACAAGAATATAGAGACATTGACATTCTACAACTTCGCACGCATCGGCCAAACTTCCATGTGAGATTATCATCTACATACTGTGACACCCAAAACTGTGTACTAGGAAGAGACAAAGATAAATCACAAGTTGTACTCGACTTTGCAGAACTTGACCAGACTTCACCAGGAGGATTCTATTCTTCGGATTGGGTCTTGTAAATAATCAGAGCTTGAAATATACACTTAAAAAACAGTAACGCAAAAGTATAAAATCGTAAATATCTGACAGTGTGTTGCCGACATCCATCGAAAATTTATGTCAAAAATGATTTGGTACTGCAGAAATTTGGTGAAAAGATCGAAAAAACAAAACCAAAACACAACCACGAGAGGTCTTGGCATTGAAACACATCAACATGACATGCACGTGCAACATAAATTGTTGGGCTATATTTTCATTTTGATTGGGTTTTCATTTGCATGCCATCATAATCTTACAGCATGTGAACAGTGAAAACACGCCACGACTAGCGGAAGCCCAACGCAACAACGCCATCGGTCGGCTGCAAACAGCAGAATCATCTTCAGCTGTAGCCAGGTTTTTCCACGTAGCAACAAGCACCATTACAAGACTGTGGAACCGTTATCAGACACACGGGACAACACTTGACCTTCCCAGATCCGGTCGACCTCGTATCACCTCTAAAGCACAGGACTGATTATTACGGCTACGTCACTTTCATGAAGGAACCACCACGGCCACCTCTACGACTACGGCAATGCCAGGAGTGCGTCGGATATCAGCCCAGGAACCGTTAACGCTCTGAAGGTATTCTCGCTAGACGACCAGTTCGTGGTGTCATTATGACGGACCTGCATCGTCGTATGCGACGTAAATGGTGACAAGGTCACAGAGTATGGCCACTACTGCGATGGAGACAAATTTGGTTTAGTGACGAGTTACGTTTTATGCTCAACGTGCGGATGGTAGACGTTGTGTTTACAGGCGTCGCGGGGAACGTTATGCACGAAACTGCATACAGGAAGTGGACGGTTTGGTGGTGGTAGTGTGATCATGTGGGCAACCATCTCCTACACTGGTAGAACATACTCGGTGCAAGTTCCAGGGAATTCAACTGTACAATGTTACACGGATGAGATTCTTCGACCACACATCCTTCCCATTATGCAACAAGCTAACGTTGTGAATTCACAATCCTATCGTACAGAGACTATATTTAATGTAAGCTACAATGTACTCTCTGGTTATATTGGAGGAAGTGAATTCATTCACTTATTCATTCATTCATTAACTGGAAGTACGAGCAACGAACCATGACGTTAGAGTGCTCTGACACATAATCAGTCAATCAATTAAACAGATACTGTCAAATTCCAAAATTGAAACAGTTCTTTGTGGTATCACAAGAAACTCAATGACTGGGCCACTTCATGTGTATAAAAGTTCATGGAACAAACAAGCTTGTAAATTTATTCACTGGAGTAATTTCCTATGTAATTTGAAATTGCTTGAGAATTCACAATCATATTGTACAGAGGCTCGTGTACTCTGATTATATTGGAGGAAATGTTTGGAGATAATTCATTCATTCATTCTGTCATGAATTTATTTATTAGTTGGTTCCCTGAAACATCATCAGTCATTTCGTTCGTTCGCTCGTTTGTTGTTTAACGCCGCTGTCACCAATATTCCATCTATATGACGGCGGTCTGTAAGTAATCGAGACTGGACCAGACAATCCAGTGATTGACATCATGAGCATCGATCTACGCAATTGGGATACGATGATATGCATCAACCCAGTCAGCGAGCCTTACCAGCCGATCCCGTTAGTCGCCTCTGACGACAAGCATATATAGTCGCCTTTTACGGCAAGAATGGGTTGATGAAGACCTATTCCACCCCGGATCTTCCGCGGTCCATCAGTCAATTAAACACCCTTGTATTGTAGTGGATAGAGCTTCTGCCTGGAAAGCTACGGCTCGGTGGTTATATCCCTAGTCGCGTTATATACTAAATGACGTTATAAATTATACTTGCTACAAGGACTGGTTGGCTCGGAGTAAGCATGATGACCTGGTTGTACCTTCGCCTAAACTTACTTAACGAGGAGGTAAGAAACTCTTTGTGTTTGTTGAAATTTCTTGTGCAGTCAATGAAACTGTTGTTTCGTACACTGATATTGCCGAAAGGAGAGAGTTAGGTTTATTGATATTAAATGCAAAATATCTGTAAATATTTAACCGCTGTCATATCCAGAGCTTACTGTGAGCACATGTTCAATATCAGTCTAAAGAAATCAAATCAGTTGCCTCTCAAATAAATCCTTAATAAAAAGTGCAAGCGTATTGCCCAGTTTGAAGTATGCATGTCACAATAGTTTTTGCTCTCCTGAAAAACAAAGTAACTACTGTCACAGGGGTGCTTTTGCTGATTATAGCCCTGACATGCATATTCATAGCCTTAGAAAGAACAACGTCGAAATATTTCATTGTGGTTGCCATATGACTGGGGACAAATGTCATGTAACATATAAGGTGTAGCAGGATCACGAGGGATACGTGGGGTTTTATGTGTCCCGCGTTAGGTTTTATCCTACGAGCCGGGTAAAACCTAACGCGGAACGCATAAAACCCCATGTACCCCTAATGATCCTGCAACAACGAATTTATCTTACCCGACACGTTCAAATGTGGCATTGTAAAAGAATTAGCACAAATTCAAAATTGATAGAAAATAGCTGTTCGATTGAGCTGAGGTTAACATGTGCTATGTCACGTGACTACCATTGACTTGCAAAACACGTGTGGCATTTTGCTTTGCAGCGGGGTATAAAGGATTTATTCTGCCTATCAGAAATCCACGTGCAGCCTGTATTGCTTGTGGCGGGGTATAAGAGATGATTTATTCCCCCGCTTAAATGCATGACCCTCCAAGGCTCGTTACACAGTATTTTATGAAGATTACATGGACCAATCGGATCTCATCATTCGGACATGGAGGTATGATAAAGCTATTTATGCAATCGGGTAACCCAGTCAAGGGTGAGACGAGTTGATCATTTATCATTAAATTGTCATGTTATTGGTGGTTGTAAGAGCCGACTTGTGAATATCAGGTCCTCACAGCATGTCACCAGACGGTGCGGCAAGTTGAGAAAGGTTCTGTGCTATATACAACTGGATTATCCTGCCCTAGACCTTAAAAGCCGAGCATTTCTCCGTTGTTTTCACTAGAATTTTTTGTATTGAGTTGGGAATAAAACGGAGATAAAAAGACGGAATTCCGATGTGTCAGGGGGGACATGGGTGGTGTAGTGGTCTTCAGTGCCACAGTTCGATGTAAAGAGTATCAAATTGACTAGGTGATGAAAATGGACAAAATTGGCCACTGTGCTGTCATCAAGTATCTCCAACTGAAAGGGCTATCTCCATCAGCCATCCATGCGGACATGTGGTCACCTTCAGGGGTTGAGGCTCAGTCCTTCGCCACTGGGATGGGCAGATGTTCAAAAGGGAAAGCGTAAACCTCGAAAATTATTCACGATCAAGAAGACATTCAACTGACACCACTTGTGGAAAACGTTGTTAAATACGTGTACATGACATGAGTATGGATTATTGATGAATACATTAGGCATCTCTCATGAGAGACTTGAGAACATTCTGAGGGATGAACTGGGTACGACAAAGACTTCAGCATGCTGGATTCTGACTCCTGACCGAAAACGCTTCAGGTTTATCATCCCTCGTGAAGACCGTAAAGCATTGGAAGAAGAAGGAGGGTACGTGGAAGAGACCGATAAGGATACTTATATTCATTTGAGATTGAATTAGATGCTGCCTCTATACTCTTACTGGGTCCAAGTACCAGAATGATGACGAGAGTTGATAAGAGGGATTTTATCCCAGTTTCGTAGAAACCATACTCTCGGCTGTCCAAAACGTTCTACCCAGCTGCCATGAGGACATCGTTTGAGTCATAATGGGTTTCAACAGGAGCTTTCTTCCTTGGCTAGGGGCACCAAGAATGGCCTTCACACATTATATTCAATCTGGACGTCCCTTGTGACCAGCCATCAACTAAGCTACCTCACAGCTACATTTGATGGCTTTTGAGTGTTTGTAAATTAGTAACTAAAGGTATTGGGTGGCTCTGTTTCTTGATTGTGGATAGCATTTGGATAGAACCATCTACAAGAGTGAGGATGTCAAAAATGTAATAAAACCTTTAAAATCGATTTATTTCTTGCAAGATTCCTTTGGCTGTGTCTACACATCACTGAGCAGGGACATGGGCACAGACACTGACACCGACACTGCTCCCCTGCAAGAACAGAAACCACACACGTTAGCTATATATGATTACTTAGAATGTAACCTACGAAATGTGATGAATTGCGGACTAACTGTCCCTAATTAAATAATCGTGCCTTGGGGAGGAACCTTCAGCATTATTTTACGAGTGGCACATAATAATTCTGAGTTGCTACGAGATAGTCTTTGTCTTTACAAAAAGTTTCACGAAGGATAAAACGGATGCTTGTTCGAAGATAATGTTAAACACACTAAGTTGTCATTTACTCACCTGAACTTGACGCTGCTTCCAGTTTCACCGGCTCCAAATACCGGGATGGTGTACTTCAGCGTCCACTCCATCACACGACTGTCACACACAAATGTCGGGGCTCCCCACTTGCCTTGTTCATAATCCGGAACTTTAAACGTCCAAGTCTTCATCTGGGTCAGGGTCTTTGCGTTAGGTATAATCTTCATCCATGGCTCGGCATTGATTGTTCTCAGACCAGACACAGCCGTTTTCCATACATTCTGCTCATCTGAGAAGACAGACTCTGTCATATTCGTCATGGATGAGGACTTCACAACATGATCATTCGGGTGTTTGTCAGATGGAGATATCTTCTTGGTTACATACACACTTACAATATCCTTGGTGCTTAGCATGATGTAGGCATCACTCGCAACTATCTGAATATCACCAAGAACATTGGCAGCGACTTCAGCAAACAATTGGTCCTTGTTCAGACTTTGCTGAGGTTTCAGCTGACTATCTTTTCCTGGGTTGAACTGTGTTTGAAGAAAGCTGCTTAGGAAGTGAGCTAGACGAACTGCCACGCGACCTTGAGGTTTGAAATGCTTGAGTAACTGCTCGTTGTAGGGGAGAACAAGGTCACTGGGGGATCTGGAACGGCAGTTATCAGCTGTTATGTTCAGGACCCTCAGCTTCTGTAGGAAATCCTTGTCCGTTAATACAGACTGTTCCCTCTTTCCGATAATGACTTCGTCTGTGAAACAAAAATCATCTTAAATATTGGTTTGAGTAAAAACAGTACGGAGACTCGATATAAGGGAGCGACAATTTGATATTCTGGGCGAACCTGGAATGTTATTGGAAGCTCATCAGTCATATGTTGTTGGGGATTCTCAAAACCTCAAAGGATTTGCTTGATCCTTTGCAATCTCAGAAAAGAACCAAGTTCAACTATGTCAAAACATTTGATTTTTTTACTTTTGGACACCACTATCCAACATGAAAAACTTGAGGGAAAACTGCATTCCTTTGTTTTGAGGGCATTTGTGTTCAAGGGCATTTTGCATTTCCGCAAACACCTGTTATCATCACAAGATGAGGACATTTCAAAATTTGTTGCATCAGTGACAAGAATGATGTCCAATGCAATTTCCTATTTTGAGATCAGTATGTCATTATTCATAATACTGAGAGGGTATAGGCCTATAGTACATGTTATATAGTAATGGGTGTATATACATTTATAAAGTAACACATTTGGAACTTCTTAGCTTCATAGCATGCAATATGTACATTGGCATTTTTTTCGTTATTTCTTCATTCTTACTTGACATTAACGAAACAAATTTCTCTAAACTTGTGTAACTTAAAGTATTATGAGTTGTACCATATGTTCCCGTGTGTTTTTCCAGGTGAACAAATGACTTGCCTTCATGTGTTTTTGACGGGTGCGACCGATGGGGCTCGATAGTTCACAATTTTGCGAAACCCTGATATTATTACTATTTTTATATTGATTCATAGACACATGCTTATGAAAAAGACGGAATCGTACAATGGACTCTGGGTTTCGTAGGGATGCCGTGTTATTATGGAAATATTTTTGTCACTTTTATGTGACATAACAATGTGAAATTTAGACGCCACCGTGGTGACTGTATGTTATTCATAAAAGCTTTGTCTGGGCTTTCGTCTTTCCCTTGCATGATCTTTTATCTCTTTTATCTATTTTTATGATTATGGAAAGTATACGTTACTTTTATTTATGCACTCACTAAGTTACTATACTGGGAGAACACATTGTCAGTACTTTATGGAGACTCGTGAAGATCCGGGGTAGAATAGGTCTTCAGCAGCCCATGCTTGCCCTAAAGGCGACTATGCTTGTCGTAAGAGGGTTGTCAGGCTCACTAACTTGGTTGATGCATGTCATCGTATCCCAATTGCATGGTTTCGAAGCTCATGTTGTCAATCACAGGATTGTCTGGTCTAGACTCGATTATTTACAGACCGGCGTCATATAGCTGGAATATTACTGAGTGTGGCGTTAAACAACAAACAAACAAACAAACGAAAGGAATGTGTAGAGTAGAGTGGCTTTGGCACTATATAATGCATTTGCACAAGTGTTATCTGAGCGCTCATTGGTTAGAACACTCGCAGGTTAATCACTGGTTTGAAACTGATTTGTTGGTTAAAAATAGCGACAACACCGCAATGAGGTAGTGTGGGAACGTAGCGTAGGATATACAAACCCAAGTCATCTGCGCTGGAAGAAAGGGAAGGATTGATGCAAACATATCCTAAATGCGTTTGAATATCTGTTTCACAGGAAACGGAACTCGTACCCACCTATCTTCTCACAATCGAACCCGTGGACGAGGTCAAGGGCCGTTCCCTGTTCCATGTCCACGCCTTTGAAAGGCTCCGTTTGGGTGTCGTTCTTGTAGCGGTAGCCTGGTCGACACACACACTCGTAACCGCCATGGTTTAACCCGAACCCGCTCAGCGGCTGGCACTGTTGGAAGAACAGAATAAAACATATGAACCAAGATGCCCACAAATGTTAATCTCGTTCACATATTCGAATTTGAATTGATGACAAGTTGGCAAATGACTGTAATCCGTCAACAGCATACCCGTGGTCGTAGGGTTTATTTAAAGTGGTAAACGCCTGAGACTTTTATAGTTTCGGGCTCTCCGCCCACATTAAGACACGTGATATAACTGAAACACTATTCAAAGCGGCATTACACTCAACTCACAAACTGAAAAACGCCAGGCACACACAAAATGGTCGTGTAAACCACCCCACTAGTACTTACTTCTGTTGTACCTTTGCAGAAGTCGATACTTGCAAAATAATTAGGGGTAGGATTCCCTAAGGAAGGCCGACACGGGTTGATATCGAATTTTGTGAAATCAATCTCGACTGTGGATTCAGCAACATATCTGGAACAAAGTTGATGCAATCTCAGATAATCTGACATATACACAAATAAAAAAGTTAAGCACACATTTCATTTCAATTTCATTATCGTTTGGTCCCAATATTTGTAACAGTCATGAAAGATATAATTACGGGAAGAATTATGTTTTCTCGAGATGATGTAATCAGTCATGCGTGACGAAAGCTCACATGCCATACATGGTATGCTCATGCAGCATGCTACCCTCGAGTATCTGTAAAAGCAGTATATGCAAACGTTAAAATTGCTTTCCGAAGCTCGGTTTTAAACAGTTATACCATGACAAAGTGCGACCATGGCACGAAGGCGATTATCAAACCCCACAAATTGGAATAACGGAGGAATGACTTTTAATGTCATTGGTCGGAATTTGGGGTATCGTAAGCGGCTTAGTCGAGAAACATGCTCAGGCCGATGATGTACAGGACCGTCCTAGATCCGGTAGACCTCCTGTGACGACCCATTGCGAAGACAGGGACATTGTTTGTCTCAAACGCCGAGAACCGTTTTTGAAACAGCTCTGGTGGCCCAATCGTCGTTTCAGCACCAGAACCGTCAGGAACCGGCTGAAAGCAGCAGGACTGAGGGCTAGAAGAGTCATAAAGCGTCCCTTGTTGAGAGATCACCACAAAGCTGCTCGTTTAGCATTGTGTATTGCGCGACAGAACTGGAATCTGAGAACTTGGAGACGGATCCATTGGTCTTTCTGCTCCACGTCACTGATTGAGGAACGAGAGTTTGGAAACCGGAACACGGCTTACACCCCCAGGAACATTAAACCGACTGTTCATACGGCGAGGCTCGGTAATGGTTTGAGGGTGTATCTCTCATGATTGCAGGTTGGATTTGGTCACCATAAGGGGCAATTTAACAGGGGCTCAGTACATCCGGGACGTTTTGAGGCCAGTCGTCGTTCCTCAATTTGACAACAACCCCCTTGCTACTCGACCTCAGTACATGGATGACAATGCCAGGCCTCATCTTTTGCATGCAGTCGTGGATTACATGAGGGCCAATGCAATAACGACTCTACCCTGGCCAGCAATGCGCCCAGATTTGAACCCCCTTGAACATGTTTGGGATATTCCGGGTCGGCGCATACAGGCACGAGATCCTCCTGTACAAGATTTACGCCAATTGGAAGCAGCATTGCATCAGGAGTGGTTGTTGTTGACCCATCAACAGATCCAACGTCTGACTGGAGGCATGAGACGTAGGGTGGAATGCGTCATCCGGGCATGTGGCAGTTATACCCGCTACTGATCTGTTTCAAGTGTCATGTCAAGTAGAGACTTTAAGGAACAATTTCACATGAAACATCAAACGTAACTCGTTTACTTAATCCTGAAGCTCCATACCTTTTTTAGGTGTTATCTTAGGTCAAAAACAGTACCTGTATTACCATGATGTTTTGTCAGTAAATTTCAATCAAGACTCACCAATATCTTCTTATTTGTTGTCAAATGTTTGTTCTTTCCGATGACATTGGTGTCGCCCAGCTCCTGTGGTCAGTCATCCTATGCCATGGTTTTTGCCATTTGTCATGGTTCAGGAACAGGGGTGTGCTCAATTTTTTTCTTTGTGTGTATATTCAATTTGGAAATCAGTGTCATGATCGAGGGGTTACGGTAACCAACAACGCATACATGATAACCATAGATGAATGAATGACTTGCAGTGAATAAATAAGGGATGCGGTACGAACGAGTGGATGTGGCAACTAGCAATGAATAAATAATGTGGCAACGTGTATGTCGAAGGGGGAATTAACTCAAAAGGAAGGAGAAGAATAATCCAAACTTCTTCAGTCGGTAATAAAACAAACAGATACAACTACTAATAGAAAGAGGTCGAATGGAATACAGAATACTAAAATGGTTGAGAGATTACTCTAATCGCGAACGAACAAAGCAAGTGTACGGTAACCAACAATAAATAAGTGAAGGAATACTGTAACAAACTATGAGCAAATACAGTCACTAAAGATGAAAGAATTATTAAAAAGTATGGCTGAATGTTTACGGTAATTAACACTGTAAGAGTATGGTAACCAACAATAAATAAATGAAGGCGTACAGTAATCAATGAAGAATGAATGACATAAAACAGTGGCCACCAATGACTGAATGAGGTAAGAGATAACAAACAATGAATGGCTGAGTGGTTATGGTAACCAGTGATGAACGAATGAGACAATACGTAAAACAAGGATGTACGAATAGAAGATGAACAAAGATAGAATGATTGAAGTGGTCACTAACGATGAGTGAGTGAGTGAGTAGGGTTTAACCCCGGGTTTAACAGTATTCCAGTTATATCACGACGTGTCAGCTTAATGTGGCAGGAAAGCCTGAAGTGATGCAAGTCTCAGACGTTTACCACTTCGGTGAAAACCACGAGCACGGGTATGGTGCTGACAAGCCTAGAAACATGATCACAAACATAGGTATCTGGCGTGTCCAAGTGATGTAACACTGCACAGGGAATTGCGGCGCCTTAGACGACTGGGCCACCCGTGAACACCCCCCCCCAACACACACACACACACACACACCCACACACCCACACACCCACACACCCACTAACGATGAACGAATAAGGGAATATGGTAACTGTGTAACTGCAGGTAGAGAAAGAACATTGGGAACTCACAGCGATCTCTGTAGATGGTGCCATGGTGTGTACCGAGGGAGATATTCTGTTATAGGTGACGTCACACTCACAACCCATTTGTTTGTCCGCCCACAGTCAAAATAGGGATTAGTTAACCTCACTGGCATCGTTTTATTATCACTATCCAATATGGAACTTGGACCGTAAAAAATAAACGTTGAGACATTGCCGTCATCTCCAATAATACTTATTCCATAGACGTCCTTGGGCATAAGGTCTGCTTTCAAGTCAGGAAGCCAGGGATTATACCAGATGTCGGCAGTAGACCCGCTTGCAGGCCGTGTGTAATTACGAATGCTGTCGTCTTCAACCCTAATACCACCCTGCATACGGTTCGCGTAAGCACCTAACAAAGGTAATGTGAGGTTGAAAGGTAGGGTTCGGTAAAAATTTGGATACGAAGTGTTCTTATCGTAATATATTCCAGACCCCACGATAGCATCAGGTCCGGAAGTGACGTCACTCAAGGCGGAGAGATATGTGTAGACGAGGTCGGGCTGTTTCGCGAAGTCGCTGGACTTATTCAATTTCTGGTAGATGATTGAGAAAAAGAAGCCTCGGTTCAAGGTCATTTTATATGCTTCCATTGCGAGAGATCGGTTGGCAAACATTTCTCTAGCTCCATCTTCATACACTGGTATGTGCGTGACAACGCTGTGTGGAAGCTGTAGGTCAGCTGCAAAAAAAATATTTAAAAAATGTGACAATTGTATTCAAACTTCACATCTTCTAGCCTAACTAGTGATCAGGTCGCAGAGACGTGTTCTTTTCTTTTTTTCAGATTAACCTCACTAACCAACTCACTTGCTCAAAGAGTAACTTTATGATATACACTCTTCAAATAAAGAAACGCAAAGGTTGTATGTAGTTCATTGAACCTGACTTAACAAAAAAAATCCGGTATATGAATTGGATATATGTTATTGGAAAATGTTGGTGGCCTGATATTCGACAAACGGTGCGTCAAAACGCATCCATTGTCGATTTACAATGTCTTGAACAGCATTATTTTGGCACTTGTTCAAAAATGTCATGGAGAAAAACTGTAAAGCAAAATGCACGTGCAAGTTATGGCATTCGTAACTCGTGATAGTGGATATAAAAAGGCAAGCATAAGCCAATAATTGGTCATTCAATTGTCAACATTTTGCAAATTCGAAAATGCCGAGACTCAGCGCTGCCGATCGGAACATCGCCATAGGACGTATCCAAAGAGGGGAATCGCAGTCTTCTGTTGCACGCCACTTCAACGTCCACCACAGCACCAATTGCCGCCTTTGGGACAGATACTCACTGTGCAATTCCATTGCAGGGAAAATAGACAGCAAATCGCTACATGAATCAAATTCTTCAACCTCACCTTCTTCCAATTATTGAGGGAGCTGTTTCAACAGGACAACGCTCCACCGCACGCAGCTCGTGTCACTTTAGACTACCTTCATAATACCAACATCAACGTTTTGCCCTGCCTGTCGATATCTCCAGATCTCAACCCAATCGAACACCTTTGGGATGAACTCGATCGACGTGTACATCAAAGTCAGAACACGCCGCAGACACTCCCGCAACTAGCCAACGCCTTACAAGCGGAATGGCTTCCGCAGGACAGAATTCGTACACTTATCCAGTCAGTGCCGAGGAGATGCAGAGCCGTGATTGCTGTCCGAGGCGGTCACATGATATACTGAGTTCAGCGCTACCCCAAGGCCTTATGTGACATGACAATGAACAGTTTTCAATGCATTTGTACAAACACAACATGTGACTATCGAGCTCCAAAATTTCATATTTGTATCTATGATATTAAATTAAATATATCGACTTTATTAGGTACAATGAATTTACTTAAAATCTACCTGTGCATTTCTTTTTTGTAGTAGAGTGTATCTACTGGTCATCATGGTAACTGCCTTTGAAAGATTCATGTACATCGTTGATAGCTAACTTGATCAAATGCATTTTTGAACAGTGGCCGAATCTTTTTCAGATTTATATGTCAGGTTCAATGATATTTCACGAACACAACGACCTGCATGCATGATGCACGGGCATGTGTTGATGTTAGTTCCGACTTATGATGGATTTATAATGACATGACATGGACACCCAAGTCAGATACAGTTTACGGACTCCGACCCGACCAGTCCTTGTTTTATTCCCTTAATACCGACCGCCATGCAGGTTGACAATCTCTTTGGTAGGACGCGGCTATTGGATCGAACCATCGACGTTCGCTCTCCTCGCAGATCACTATCCCCTACACTAAGAAGACGCACAATAAGTGAATCACTTGACAGATTATATGTTGCAGCAGTCATCATTCCACTACTACGGACTTGTAGTATTAAGATTCCAAAGTCCTGTGTTGTACAAGTGTCTTACCAGTATTGTCGCGAGCGTCATCTGTCATTTAAATGACATACATTATAGTCTCCTTATCAGGAGTGACCCGTAGTTGATTTTTGTCTATTTTTTCAAGAGACACATGGACATATACAATTCATGCTAGATTGGCAAATAAAGTTGATGGAAAGTAACAGACTAACGATATATGTGTATTATGAACGTCATATGTTAACTTGTATTAAATAATTGCCGAAAACATTTCCTTCAAAATCTGTCAATACAGTTCAGAAGGCATATATTATAGTGAGTGAGTGAGTATGATTTTACCCCGCTTTTAGCAGTTTTCCAGCAATATCACGGCAGGGGGACACCAGAAATTGGCTTCAAACATTGTACCCAAGTCGGGAATCGAACCCGGTTCTGACGAGCGAAGGCTTTAACCACTAAGCTACCCGACCGTCCCTGCAGATGTAAAATGATAAGGAGGCAATGATGGGCGTGGAGAAGTGCAATACTGACAGACCAAACAGAATTGTGCAAGTCTATCATTTAACTATCAGTTAAAATACAGCTTAAGAATAAACCTAAGATACCGTTTGTGACCGAGATAACGCAACGTTAAAGGTTTCCCAAATACAAACCAGCATACAGTTCTGATTAGATAGGTTAAAAACAAGGCTCTCTCATTTTGCAATCTTAAAGCCCAGATTGTGACACATAGCACAGTGCTACCATCATGCGTCATAATGGTTCAGGAAAACAATGATAAGAACTGTGTGGTTCCCATTGATCTGCACAACTGGCGAAAAGCATCGGTTGCTAAAGACCAATTCTGACCCGGATGTTCAAGGGTGACATCACAATCTAGCGGAAGTTGACTAAGCTATGGCCACCAGACCAGGAAGCAAAAATCGATTTTGGGAACCAGTTCTGATACGCAGGACCTAATAATAACACAGTGAAACATCGATAATGTCATAAAAATATTCAATATTTCATCTCTAAATAGTTTAATACATAATAATTAATGATATTAACACATGCAACATAGTCTCCTTTGACTTTAATCACTACACATACTTGAGCTTTTATGGTGACAGTTGGTCTCATTTACAGCGTCCATCAACTGCTTGATGTCGTCCAGATGGTCTCCATACGCCAGGGACAGGGCGACCAGCAACACGAGAGCCTTCATAGTGTATCAGACGCGAAGTGCGAGGACTTCTCGGTTCATGGAACCGTATATGCTACACGCATACAGCAGGCGTGGGAATGGATGGAACGCAGCTGATAAGATTGTTGCTACATTTAGCCTACGATAAGCTAACCTATGATGCGTCGTGGTTTTGAAATGACTCATGACAGATACGTCAAATATGATGCGTTTAGAGGGGCACTGACAATTCACCAGGCCGAAAACAATTACGACCAGTAATGAATAACGTTGGAGACTTGTTGATATTTGTATCCCCATATTTTCTGTTCTCCTATCAGGGACAGCAAATGGTGGCACAGAATACATATAACACTATACCCTGTGCAGGGGATGTCTCATTTGTATTTGTTTTATTTGAAAAAAAATTTGTAAGAGAAAAATTTAAAGCTTGGCTTTTTAAGTAGTATCTGTCATTCCCCGATCTTTGTAGGGATTCCATGGTAGGAAAGGTTCCAGTACCCATACTTGTCGTAACATCCGACTATATAGTATAGAAGGACCTAACAATCATTCACTCAAGGTCGGCATTACAGTACCAGCTGTCTGCATTGGAACAAACATACTATGTGAGAGAGCCTTATCTCGGCGTCCAGTTATCAATTGAGCATTGACAAAAAAAACCTGGAAGCAACGACCCATGACGTTTGGGTACGATGATACTTAATGAGTTATCAGTCAAGAAACTAGAACTAAAAATCTATGGGAAAAACACACAAAAAAACTTTCAAAGAAGTAGGTCCGAAAACTGGGGCCTGAACCCAGTAGTGTGGTAATATATGGTGTAAGGCCATTGTCCCATGCTTTTCTATACTTGTAATCTGCGGACAAATGAGTCCGTACAAGAACATAAAGACATTGACATTCTACAACTTCGCACGCATCGTCAGCACTTCCATGTGAGATTATCATCTATATACTGTGACACCCCAAACTGTGTACTATGAAGGGACATAGATAAATCACAAGTTGTACTCGACTTTGCACAACTTGACCAGAGTTCACCAGGAGTATTCTATTCTTCGGAATGGGTCAATATTTGTGAATGTCTTGTGAATAATCAGAGCTTAAAATATTCACTTCAAAAAGAGTAACGCAAAAGCATAAAATCGTAAATATCTGACAGTGTGTTGCCGACATCCATCGAAAATGTATGAAAATATCGAGAGAAAAAAATACAACCATGTGAGGTTTGGCAATGAAACACATCAACATGACATCCACGTGCAACATAAATTGTTGGGCTATATTTTCATTTTGATTGGGTTTTCATTTACATGCCATCATAATCTTACAGCATATGAACAGCGAAAACACGCCACGACTAGCGGAAGCCCAACGCATCAACGCCATCGGTCGGCTGTAAACAGCAGAATCATCTTTAGCTGTAGCCACGTAGCAACAAGCACCATTACAAGACCGTGATTGTGAATTCACAATCCTATCGTACAAAGACTATATTTAATGTAAGCTTATTTATTCATTAGTTGGAAGAACGAGCAACGAACCATGACGTAAGAGTGCTCTGACACATAATAAGTCAATTAATTAAACAGATACTGTCAAATTCCAAAATTGAAACACTTCTTTGTTGTATCAAAAGAAACTCATTCTGGGCCACTTCATGTGTATAAAAGGCATAAGTTCATGGAACAAACAAGCTTGTAGATTTATTCACTGGAGTAATTTCCTATGTAATTTGAAATTACTTGAGAATTCACAATCATATTGTACAGAGACTCGAGTAAACTGCAATGTACTCTGATTATATTGGAGGAATTTTTTGTAGATAATTCGATCTACACAATTGGGATACGATGATATGCATCAACCCAGTCAGCGAGCCTGACCACCCGATCCCGTTAGTCGCCTCTTACGAAAAGCATTGTCGCCTTTTACCGCAAGAATGGGTTGCTGAAGACCTATTCTACCCCGCATCTTCCGCGGTCCATCAGTCAATTGTATTGTAGTGGATAGAGCTTCTGCCTGGAAAGCTACGACTCAGTGGTTATATCCCTGGTCGCGTTATATACTAAATGACGTTATAAATTATACTTGGTACAAGGACTCGGAGTAGTATGATGACCTGGCTGTACCTTCTTGCGTCTAAACTTAACAAACGAAGAAGCAAGAAACCAGCGCCTGAGAGAACACTGTGTTTGTCGAAATTTCTTGTGCAGTCAATGAAAATATGTGTTCTACACTGATATTGCCTGAAGGAGGGAGTTAAGTTTATTGATATTAAATGTAAAATATCGGAATGAAGGAATGTTATCGCGGTCATATCCAGAGCTTACTGTGAGCACATGTTCAATATCAGTCTTAAGAAATCAAATCAGTTTCCTCTCAAATAAATCCTTAATAAATAGTGCAAGCGTATTGACTAGTTTGAAGTATGCATGTCACAATAGTTTTTGCTCTCCTGAAAAACAAAGTTACTACTGTCACAGGGGTGCTTTTGTTGATGTATGGCCCTGACATGTATGTTCATAGCCTTAGCAAAAACAACGTCGAAATATTTCATTGTGGTTGCCATATGACTAGAGACAAATGTCATGTAATATATAAGGTGTAGCAGGATCACGAGGGATACGTGGGGTTTTATGTGTCCCGCGTTAGGTTTTATCCTACGAGCAAGATATAACCTAACGCGGAACGCATAAAACCCCATGTACCCCTAGTGATCCTGCAACAACGAATTTATCATACCGACACGTTCTAATGTGGCATTGTAAAAGAATTAGCACAAATTCAAAATTGATAGAAAACAGCTGTTCGATTGAGCTGAGGATTCGATTCGATGTGCTGTGTCACGTGACTACCATTGACTTGCAAAAAACGTGTGGCATTTTGCTTTGCAGCGGGGTACAAAGGATTTATTCTGCCTATCAGAAATCCACGTGCAGCCTGTATTGCTTGTGGCGGGGTATAAGAGATTTATTCCGCCGCTGAAATGTATCACCCTCCAAGGCTCGTTACACAGTATTTTATGAAGATTACATGGACCAATCGGATCTCATCATTCGCACATGGAGGTATGATAAAGCTATTTATGCAATCGGGTAACCCAGTCCAGGGTGAGACGAGTTGATCATTTCTCATTAAATTGTCATGTTATTGGTAGTTGTAAGAGCCGACTTGTGAATATCAGGTCCTCACAGCATGTCACCAGACAGTGTGGCAAGTTGAGAAAGGTTCTGTGCTATATACAACTGGATTGTCCTGCCCTAGACCTTAAAAGCCGAGCATTTCTCCGTTGTTTTCTCTAGAAATTCTTGTATTGAGTTGGAAATAAAACGGGAGATAAAAAGACGGAATTCCGATGTGTCAGGGGGTCATGGGTGGTGTAGTGGTCTTCAGTGCCACAGTTCGATGTAAAGAGCATCAGTTTTGACTAGGTGATGAAAATGGACAAAATTGGCCACTGTGCTGTCATCAAGTATCTCCAACTGAAAGGGCTATCTCCATCAGCCATCCATGCGGGCATGTGGTCACCTTCAGGGGTTGAGGCTCAGTCCTTCGCGACTGTTAAGAGATGGTTAGATGTTCAAAAGGAAAAGAGTAAACCTCGAAAATTATTCAAGATCAAGAAGACATTCAACTGACACCACTTGTGGAAAACGTTGTTAAAATACGTGTTAATGATACGAGTATGGATTATTGATGAATACATTAGGCATCTCTCATGAGAGACTTGAGAACATTCCGTGGGATGAACTGGGTACGACAAAGACTTCAGCATGCTGGATTCTGACTCCTGACCAAAAACGCTTCAGGTTTATCATCCCTCGTGAAGACTGTAAAGCATTGGAAGAAGGAGGAGGATACGTGGAAGAGACCCATAAGGATACTTATATTCATTTGAGATTGAATTAGATGCTGCCTCTATACTCTTACTGGGTCCAAGTACCAGAATGATGACGAGAGTTGATGACAGAGATTTTATCCCAGTTTCGTAGAAACCATACTCTTGGCTGTCCAAAACGTTCTACCCAGCTGCCATGAGGACATCGTTTGAGTCATAATGGGTTTCACCTGAAGCTTTCTTCCTTGGCTGGGGCACCAAGAATGGCCTTCACACACTATATTCAATCTGGACGTCCCTTGTGACCAGACATCAACTAAGCTACCTCACAGCTACATTTGATGGCTTTTGAGTGTTTGTGAATTACTAACTAAAGGTATTGGGTGGCTCTATTTCTAGAATCATCTACTGGAGTGAGGATGTCAAAAATGTAATAAAACCTTTAAAATCGATTTATTTCTTGCAAGATTCCTTTGGCTGTGTCTACACATCACTGAGCAGGGACATGGACACAGACACTGACACCGACACTGCTCCCCTGCAAGAACAGAAACCACACACGTAAGCTATATATGATTACTTAGAATGTAATCTACGAAATTTGATGAATTGAGCAGTAACTGTCCCAAATTAAATAATCGTGCCTTGGTGAGGAACCTTCAGCATTATTTTACGAGTGGCACAAACTAATTCTGAGTTGCTACGAGGTAGTCTTTGTCTTAACAAAAAGTTTCACGAAGGATAAAACGGATGCTCATACGAAGATAATGTTAAACACACTAAGTTGTCATTTCCTCACCTGAACTTGACGCTGCTTCCAGTTTCACCGGGCCCAAATACTGGCATGGTGTACTTCAGCGTCCACTCCATCACACGACTGTCACACACAAATGTCGGGGCTCCCCACTTCCCTTGTTCATAATCAGGAACTTTAAACGTCCAAGTCTTCATCTGGGTCAGAGTCTTTGCGTTAGGTATAATCTTCACCCATGGCTCGGCATTGATTGTTCTCAGACCAGACACAGCCGTTTTCCATACATTCTGCTCATCTGAGAAGACAGACTCTGTCATATTCGTCATGGATGAGGACTTCACAACATGATCATTCGGGTGATTGTCAGATGGAGATATCTTCTTGGTTACATACACACTTACAATCTCCTCGGTGCTAAGCATGATGTAGGCATCACTGGCAACTATCTGAATATCACCAAGAACATTGGCAGCGACTTCAGCAAACAGTTGGTCCTGCTTTGCTGAGGCTTTAGCTCACTGTCCTGTCCTGGGTTGAACTGTGTTTGAAGAAAGCTGCTTAGGAAGTGAGCTAGACGAACTGCCACGCGACCTTGAGGTTTGAAATGCTTGAGTAACTGCTCGTTGTAGGGGAGAACAAGGTCACTGGGGGATGTGGAACGGCAGTTATCAGCTGTTATGTTCAGGACCCTCTGCCTCTGTTGGACAGCATTGTCTGTCAACACAGGCTGGTCCCCTCCTTCTGTGGAAAAAAGAATTATCTTAATAATTAGCTCGGTGTTGGTTGAAAATGCGGTACAGACACTCGGTATTAGGAACTGACAATTTGATATTCTGAGCCGACTAGGAATTTGGTTGGAAGGTCATCAGTCATGAATTTTCCTTTTCAAAACCTCAGAGGATTTGCTTGAAGTTTGGCAATCTCAGAAAAGGACAAAGTTCAATTATGTCAAAACATTTGATTTTTTCAGCTTTGTTCACTACTATCTCGCACAACAAACTTCCTTGATTCATGGGGCATTTGTCACTTAACGTGGTGACCATAGGTTGTGCTATCCCACATTGTTGATCTGTTTCTTTATGCATACGAGACAGAATTTTTTCTCGGATTGGCCAAATCTATACAAGGGAATATGGTGAAGACGTTAATCTTAAGCGTCAGGTATATCGATGATCTGATGTCGTTCAGTGATGGTCAAGTAACCAATTCACTTCCTCTGATTTACCCATCTGTGCTAGAAATGAGACTAATGAAACCGTTTCATATTTAGATCTGTGCTAAAAAGTATTTAGAGTGACGAAAACTATCAGACTGTATGACAAGAGGGATGACTTCGTCTTTCCAATAGTCAACTTTCCCAAGAACAATTTTCCAGGAGATTCAGATATTAAGGTTATTGAAAGAGTTTCCTTGCTTCACGAATGCTCTAAGTTCCTATATGGCGACAACAAATTATCAGTACTTCACGTGTTCATGGTCGAACATAGAGTACACAAGCCCTGAAGAACAGTCGACATCACACAGTGACCTTTTGAGTTTGTTTGTTGTATAACGCCGCACTCAGCAATATTCCAGCTATATGACGGCGGTCTGTAACTAATCGAGTCAGGACCAGACAATACAGTGATTGATATGAGAATCAACCCACGCAATTGGGATACGATGACATGTATCAACCAAGTCAGAAGACCTATTCTACCCCAGATCTTTTACACTAAGTGCCCCATAACCTGGGAATACATATGGCCAATATGCAACAAAGAAATATGTGTGATTTCAGTCAGGTAATGAATGGAGGCCATGTATAACTGATTGAAATCAAAGGAGCCATACTCGGTGTATTGTTTTGACTTTGAAGATATGTGTATACATAGATGGTCGTAAGGCTTTGGCACATGTATATTGCGTTTATGCCCATGTAATCTGACCTTACATTGGTTCACTGGTTTCCCTCTCGCTGGAACCAGGCTGTGATTCGTTGATTAAAAATAGCGACTACACTGCAACGAGGCCGTATGTATTCGCAGGTTTTGGTTTGGTTTGGTTTGTTTTTTAACGCCGCACTCAGAAATATTCCAGCTATAAGACGGCGGTCTGTAAATAATCGAGCCTGGACCAGACAATCCAGTGATTAATATCATGAGCATCGATCCACGCAATTGGGATCGATGACATGAATCAACCAAGTCAGCGAGCCTGACCACCCGATCCCGTTAGTCGCCTTTTACGACAAGCATAGTCGCCTTTTACAGCAAGCATGGGTTGCTGAAGACCTATTCTACCCCGGAATCTTCACAGGTCGTATTCGCAGGTAGTACTCTATACCAATCCATGACGAGGTCAGAAACAATGTGATACAATTGGAATGTTTCACTTGTTTGCTTTGCCTAATAACATGTATGCTCCAGCAAATTTATATGGGTATTTCGGTGAGCTTTGTAATCATGTCATCTGAGCTAGAAGAAAGAGGAGATTTATAGCAAAATTAGTCCTAAATGCGGTTGGACATGTTTTACAGGAGACTGACCTCCTACCCACCTATTTCCTCACATTCGAACCCGTGTATATATTCTTCTTTTGTGGCCAGTTCGATATCCACGCCTCTGAAAGGCTCCGTCTGGGTGTGGTTCTTGTAGCGGTAGCCTGGTCGACACGCACACTCGTATCCACCACGGCTCAACCCGAATCCACTCAGTGGCTGGCACTGTTGGAAGATGAAACGCTATATGAAGAGTGGGTTTAGGTTATAGGTAGTGCTATATACAACGATTGATACTATTGAAAGAATAGATAAAACATATCAAACAAGAGTCATCAGAAGATGACAATTTCCCCGGCCCCCACATATTTGGGCAAAAAGAACAAATCATCTGACTGTTATTTTAATCTATCTAATCTGACTGTCCGTACACAAGAGCTATCAAAACAATACCTTAGAAATGGGATTCGGAACTTTGTATTTCCATATCAGGTAGACACAACTATGAACAGTGTCAAAATCAAACGTGTTGCCATGGAAACAGAAAAAATATAAATTCTAAAAATCCCTAAATAGCAAAAGGCACCAGTTTACAACCTGGGCTCACTTGCACAAAGCGATCTTAGCGCTAAGACTATCGTAAGCCTATGTTAAAGTATGGGAGTTACGATCATCTTAGCGCTAAGATCGCTTTGTGCAAGTGGGCCCTGGTCTCTGTGTGTGCAATCTCATTAAAATCAGATCTTAGTTCTCGCTACCGCTAAACAAAGATCTGAGGACATCACATTAGGGGTCACGTCAGAACGACCTTTCATCCGACCAATCAGAGCGTCGCTTACAAGATTATGAAAGTGACAGTCGGAATGTGATTTCTAATCGTGCAACCTCGAAAACTTTAACACGGGGTATTCCGAACCATAGTTACGGGTTTAACGACTGAATCCATACAATCTAGACCATATATTTGCCATTCGAGAATGCTCTTTTGTTCAGGTTTCAAATTTTTAATCGAGAATTTGTCCAAATATGTTTCGAAGCGTAGTTGCCAATTTGAAATGAGTGCCGTAAAGCACGAGAAAGCTGCCTTCTGATTTACTAAGTCGACTTCTTGTCAGTCCTTCCATTGGTCGGTCAAAATTCGCGCAAGGTCGGTCTGACGTGACCCTTAATGGGATGTCCTCAGATCTTTGTTTAGCCATAGCCAGAACGAAGATCTGATTTTAATGAGATTGCTGTGTGTGCAAAGTGTCATGGAAGAATACCTATTAGTTTTAGAGATATGGTCCGGACAAATACACCACTATGAACAATGTCAAAGTCAAACTTGTAGCCATGGAAAAAGGAAATCTTCTTTTTTTTAAATAATTCTAACTAGCAAAAGGCATCACTACAGTCCTTGATTGATACATGTACCAAGTTTGGATGAAAGAAGTTGAATAGTTTTTCAGTTCGGCTCCGGAAACGACGCTTCCCCCGTTTCAGCTAAGTCATACTTGTTTCCATGGAAACAGGAAAAAATCCAATTTTGAAAAATACCTACATAGCAAAACGCACCATTTCAGCCCTTGGTTAATACATGTACCAGGTTTTGATGAAAAGTATTTCCCAGTTTTCAAGTCACTGACATGCGCAAGGCACCCACTCAGTCAATGGTCGTTTAAACCACCCCCCTTGTGCTTACTTCAGTTGTGTCTTTGCAGGCGGCGATGCCAGCAAAATAATTAGGGGTAGGATTTCCGTACGAATAAGGACACGGGTTGATATCGAATTTTGTGAAATCGATCTCGACTGTAGATTCAGCTACAAATCTGGAACAAAGCATGTAAGCCGTGATTATCTGATGTATATTCAATATCCGAAGACATGACGTGATGGGATACGGTTCCAAGCGATGAACGATTGTGGGCATACGTTAACCAACGATGAACAAATGATCAATGATGAATGGTTGAGGGTTTACTGTAATCACGACTGAACCAAGGAAGGTGTGCATCAACCAACAATCAATAAATGAAGGAATACGGTAATCAACGATGAACGGATGTAGTATACGGTAACCAGCAATGAACTAATAAGAGGATATGGTAACCAATAAAAAATAAAAGAAGTAAAATGATGATAGCATGTGCTAACTAGCGATGAATGAAAGACGAATGGTTGAGTGTTTACGGTAATCAACAATAAAAGAGTGTGGTAACCAACAATGAATAAATTAAGGAATACCATAATCAACAATGAACAATTTAGAGAATGGTCAAAAACAGTGAACGAATGAGGGAAGCTTAACTAATAATGAGTGAGTGAGTGAGTTGATTTTAACGCCGCTTTTAACAGTATTCCAGTTATATCGCGGCGTGTCAGCTTAATGTGGGAGGAAAGCCCGAAGTGATGCAGGTCTCAGACGTTTACCTCTTCGGTGAAACCCACGAGTACGGGTATGGTGCTGACAAACCTAGAAACATAATCGGGGTGAACTGGGATTCGAACCCAAAATTATAGGTTTCTGGCGTGTCCAAGGGACGCGACTCTGCACAGCGAATCGCGGCGCCTTAGACGACTGGGCCACCGGTGCCCCCAATAATGAATGAATGAGGGAGTACAAAAGAACTTACAAGGGTTTCCATAGATGTTGCTAGGGTGTGTACCGAGCGAGAGAATCTGTAACAGGGGATGCCACACTCACAACCCATTTGTTTGTCCGTCCACAGTCAAAATAGGGATCCGTAAACTTCACTGCCATCGTTTTGTCGTAAACATTACCTCTATATACTTGGTAATTTGGACCGTAAAAGTAAAACGCTGAAGTAAGGCCGTCATCTCCATTGTGACTTATTCCATAGACGTCCTTGGGCCTAACGTATCTTGTCCCGTCAGGAAGCCAGAGACTATACCAGGTGTTGGCAGAAGACCCAGTTGCAGGCCGTGTATAATTACGAATGCTGTCGTCTTCAACCCTAATGCCTCCCTGCATACGGTTCGCGTAAGCACCTAACAAAGGTACGGTGAGGTTGAAATATAGGGATCGGTAAAAATTTGGATACGAAGTGTTCTTATCGTAATATATTCCAGACCCCACGATATCATCAGGTCCGGAAGTGACGTCACTCATGGCGGAGAGATATGTGTAGACGAGGTCGGGCTGTTTCGCGAAGTCTCTGGACTTATTCAATTTCTGGTAGATGATTGAGAAAAAGAAGCCTCGGTTCAAGGTCATTTTATATGCTTCCATTGCGAGAGATCGGTTGGCAAACATTTCTCTAGCTCCATCTTCATACACTGGTATGTGCGTGACAACGCTGTGTGGAAGCTGTAGGTCTACTGCAAAGAAAAGAAGAAACGGGCAACTGTTTGGATACTTCACACCTTCTGCCCTAACAGGGGATCTGGTTGCCCAGACGTGTTTCCTGTCTTTGTCACATTATTGGGCGGTTGGGGGTATAAGTAGACATGAAAGGTTGCGTCCCTTACGAATTTCTGGATCCGCATTCGCATTACGATCCAGTAAGTACGAAAGTGACGAACCAGCTTCACTTTCCTGTCACATTGCTCAAATTACATTAACAGTTCTTAACCAACTCACTCAAAGAGTAACTTTATATTTTATTTAAGACTGTTCTCTATGGTTACGGCTCATGAAAGATACATGTTTATGTAAATAGCTGACTTAATAAAATCAGAATTTTGTCAGAATCCGAATATTGTTCGGTCACAGCTTCACATACTATTATTCTCTTTAAAAGGAGGTGTGAAGCCCATTTCTGGTGTCCCCCGCCGGGATATTGCTGGAATATTGCTAAAAGTGGCGTAAAACCATACTCACTCACTCACTCTGAAAGGAGGATCCGAAATTTTATATATTTATTCTGTGATTCGACATGTCCAGAGAACAATTTGGTGGATCTAACACACAAGGCAAAATTAAGTAAGTGTTTCCAAAGAGATCCCAGCCTAGACCAATCCAAAATAACAAATGGTCGGTCCCTAAGTTCTGTCGAGGAAGTCCATAAATTTTATATTTGTGCATCCATGTTCGCGCGATTGTGGCTGCTTGTGCTGTTTCCGGGCAGGGTTACAACAAGTACCATCCCTTTGGTTGGACGCGGCCAGGGGATCGAACCCCCGACCTTCCCCTCTCCGGCAGACGTTCTTCCCACTAAACAACAAAGGCACTCAAAAAGTGTATGTGACTTGACAGATGACATATGGTGCAGCAGACGACATCCCACTGCGACACTCCGACTCTGACTAGGATCGCGTAGATCACCAGTTGCGCCCCTTGTAATGACAACGCGATATATATCAAATCAGATTGCTGTTCTTAGCTCGTAAGATGGCGACTACCATGGATAAAGAGCTGGTCGAAAACACTTGCGATTTCATCCCTGACATACAAATAAAGGTATTAAAATTGTTGAGGGGTTTAAAAGATGAAAAAGGTGAGATGGTGAGGTGAAATTGGGTTTAACGTCGCTTCCAAGATTACTGCACTTATATACTGACGTGCATGTACGTGTGTGTGTGGCTGCTTGTACTAGTCCGGACTGATGCCGATTTATAGTGCTAGCCCACTGAGATACCATGCCGCAGTTTAACATGAATATCCCACTCAGACACAGTGTCTCCGAGCCGACCAGTCCTTGTTTTAGCCCCTAAATGCCGAGCCCCGGACCTTCCGCTCTCCGGGCGGACGCTCTACCTCTAGGCCACGGAGGCGGTCAGATGAAAAAAGCATATTCATATCAAAGACTGGCAGCGGTAAATCACTTTCACACGAATGTACCAGTTCTGGAAATGACCGTTCTCATCATCGTATCGCTTTCAAGCACAGTACTTGGGCGACTTGATTTAAAACTTTGAAAGACTAAGAAAATACTTGTGTTCCCTCAATTATTGTAAGAAACTTCGGCGCAAAGTCGACAAGCTATGACAGCGGACATGTTTTCGGAACGCGGATGCGCTCTCTGATCGGACTTTCGATATGTGCTTGATGTGGCAAGGTGGAGACTTTGACAAATAGATTAGTGGACACTCTGGAAGATGATCAGTGTTTAGTTAAACTATAACTTAAAATACAACTAAAGGATCAACATTTCTCAATCTTAAAATTACATTGCGCCCGAAATAATGAAACGATAAAGTTCTCCACGCTAAAAGGTGCCGTTGTATAAAACAACCTTAGCGCCACAACTGTCGTAAGTCTTTGTTAAAGTATGGGAGTCACGATCACCTTAGCGCTAAGGTCGCTCTGAACAACGGCACCCAGAATACGATTCTGTTCAAGTGAGTTTATAACAAGGACCTACATTTCACAATCATTAAGCTCAGGTTTTGACAGACAATCCAACTCTACCATGGTGTGTCATTATGGTTCAAGACATCTTCCCGAGGCAAGAGAGTTAACTGACTAAAAAAGTCCAGTTTCCACCAGATATTTTCCAAATCTATTCAAGTTTTAAATAAAGGTGCTCACGTGATTTGATGCACTTCTTACAATATAGATCTTGATTATCAATCAGATCGTTTTGACTGGGTGCCGCCATTTTGTTTGAAGCAAATGCAAGTGATACGAGAGGTGGAATCTGATTGGTCCCTAGGAGAGGCATGGAATGGACTAGACTCGTAACAGCCACTGGTGGCGCTACGATCGAGTCCAGGAAATCCAGCCTAATTCGGCAAGGGTGGAAACTGGACTTTTAATGACAGTTAACTCCCTTGCCTCGGGAAGATGGGTTCAAGAAAACAATAAGAAATGTGTAGTGCCTAGAACTAGAACAGCGCTGACAGAAATAGTTGTGCAGTGTGCAGCCTACTGAAACACCAACGTGTTAGTAGACTTTATAAACCAGCTAGTCAATGTTTGCCAATTAGACTAGTAGGTTGCCTATCGTAGATAAGTACAATTTACTATTCAGTTAGTAGAGATTACTATCCATCTTTCAAAGAACAACTGGTTTAAGTAGTTAATTATTCTATCTAATAATAATTTACTAAACTTCTTCTCATAACTGTAACAGTATATTTTATTTACTAAGCTTGTGGTAAGTTTTTTTTAAAAACAAGTTAATAACAAATGACAAACATTACAGGTGAAACAGAACATAAAATGATTTTCAGAGACATTAAAGTACAGGTTAGTACACCACGTGGATCCAATTTTTGTTGCATGTGCTCAATGAGAGTGAGTATGGTTTTACGCCGCTTTTAGCAATATTCCAGCAATATCACGGCGGGGGACACCAGAAAGGGGCTTCACACATTGTATCCATGTCGGGAATCGAACCCGGGTCTTCTGCGTGACGAGCGAACGCTTTAACGACAAGGCTACCCGACCGCCCCTGCTCAATGAGAAGGGAGTTTAGTTGATGCACGATTGTCATCGTATCACACTCAGCCGCACTCAGCAATATTCCAGCTCTATGGCGGCGGTCAGTAAATAATCGAGTCTGGTCAAGATAATCCAGTGATTGATGTCATGAGTATCGATCCATGTGCAAACGGGATACGATGACATGCATCAACCAAGGCAGCGAGCCTGATCATTATCACATCAGTCGCCCCTGGCGACAAGCATGTGTTGCTGAAGACCTATTCTAAACCGGATCTTCACTGGCGAACCCGCAGTACACACGAAAGGCAAACGAATGTAGTCTTCTGCCTCGGCGACATGGAAGAAACTTTATGACATGAACAATTAAATATTTACTCACCATGATAGCTAATCCGTTCATGAAGGCTGAAATATGTCTTTTTATGTTTTGTGTTATTCTAAGCATTGTTCGAACGTTTGATTTGGTAGCTTTTCGTTCAAAGAAACGAACAGGTAGAAAAGAAATTACTATTGTCTTCATCGTGGTCCAAATATTTGCTCATTTTAGCCCATCAACATGGTCATATAATAAAGTGGTGATCGTAAATGTGCTCAAATTGGCCCTGTATTAATTATACACATGCCCTGGGACTCCCGGGTCGCCAAAGAGCGAAGTGCACGAGCGAAAGTCTCGGGGAACATATGAGGGCTGGCAAAAATGTTCTAAGCTTGACTTACTTTCAAATATATGGCATAACAAAGTGAACTAGTCTATGTAATACATTGTTTAAGGCCGTTTGTATTTTTTTATTAATGATAGCCAGTTGAACGTGATAGGGGTCCAAATGGACACAGAAATGGAAAAGAACGAGTACCGAGCGGTCATGAAGTTTTATACTTTAGAGAAAAGTACTCCCCAAGAAAGTCATGCCCCATGTCACAAGTGTATGAGGATAAGTGCCCGAGCTATTCCACTGTTAAACGTTGGGCAGGTATGTTTGAGGCTGGTAGAACAAGCCTTGGTGATGACCTTGAGTCAGGATGTCCCTCAACTTTCATCAATGAAGATTCAATAAAGGAGAAAGAAAAACTATACTCTCAGATAGTCGTATTACCATTGCTGAACTTGAGGAAAACACAGGTCTAAGCCATGGATCCATTGAAACCATTATTCATGAACATTTACAGATGAATAAGATATCTGCTCGTTGGGTGCCAAAGTTTCTAATTTCTAATCTAAAGTAAAAAAGAGCTGACATTGCCTGAGACATTTTAGAACTAACTGAGAAGGATTTCGTCAAATTCGAAAAGAGATTAGTAACGGATGATGAAACATGTGTCTACAACTATGATCCCGAGTTAAGACGTCAAGCCATAGAATGGCACCATTCCAATGCTACGGCACCAAAGAAACTCATGTCTTCAAAATCGGTGAAGAATGTTATGGGCCATTGTATTCTGTGAAAGCTGTCGTGAATGATTTTTTTATCAAGATAGCTCTAGGAAACTCCTTCCTGGCTGGAATTGAAATATGAGAAGTGTATTGAAAAGCAGGGAGATTATGTTGAAAAATAAACTTTCACAATTGTTAATTTTGTTTGTTATAGGCTTAGAACTATTTGACCAGTCGTCGTATTTCACGTGCATCACACGGGACCGACTGACGCAAGTGCTCTCACAATTTAGCATTGCTTTCTCATCATAGAGAAATTTTAAAGTACCGTTACGGTTATCAAAACAATGTTGTTTAAACATTTTAGGTGCTAGCTAGGGTTTTTTGAGTGAATGTTAACCACGGTTTTAATTAAGTTCGACCTTTTCGGCGCTCCCAACCTTGGGGTTTAACTGACCATTTCAACGACCATTTTGTCATTTGTTATTTACTTGTTTTTTGGCAAATTGTATTCAACAGCTGTCAACAGGGAGCGCATAATGACCAAGAAACGGACATTTATTTAAGTGTAGTAAAGCTTACTATGCAAGCTTGGTAAACATACTGTTGTGAAAGCCTGGTGATAGGGAAAGGTTGCTTACCTACTAGGGCTGGGACGAGTCCAAATTTACTACCCGGGTACTCTCCACCCTATTACCCGACCCTACCCGGGTACCCGTTGTAGATATTTAGAGATAGGCACAAACTGTCCGATTTGGAAACATTTGACCGTAGCCCTGGCAAAATGTATTTAGATACACGTGTAAAACGATCCGGTCATGCATACACTGAAGTTACGGCATGGAGTTTTATCTTCATTCAAACATATAAAAGTCAGAAGGAATGGGTGCATTGTCAGAAAGAAATGGGAACATTAGCTACTTGTATTGTAACCATAGAGTGTTAGGTAAGTTTTGTCATTAAACAATATAACACGGGATTAACCATGGGTCCGGGTAGTCCTGTGGGTACCAGAGTCCTACTCAGGACCCGAATACCCGAGTTACCCGCCACAGCCCTATTACCTACATCGTAAGCTTGATGACGGGAAGATCAAAGTCGTGTGAGTTCGGGGTCAATGCGTCCGTTGTCACCTGTCAGATTTGGCGGGTAAGTTGATCAAATGCCTCGATCACACCCGGAAACGCCCGAACACCAGACGATTTATCCGATGTTATCCGTACGAGTGCGGAAACACCGATCACGACAATAGTCTGGCAGTTCGTAAATTTTGAGAAGATTCTTTCAAAGATGTCTACTAACGGATTAGTAATTTTGTACTAGTCTACGACAGGCCACCTATACCAAAATCTAGCGGCAGCTGCACCTCACGTGATCTGGATATCGCCTGCAGACCAGGAAGCAGAGAGCAACAAACTGGGCCTAGATGAGTTCTTATACACAGGGCCTGATAATAATAGAGTGATTTTTTGCAATTAAAATAGTATTTCATCTTGAAAAACTTAAAGGGGGCACGGGTGGCCCCGTCGTCTAAGGCGCCGCAATTCGCTGTGCAGAGTTGCGTCCCATGGGCACGCCAGAAATCTATGATTGTGGCATCGAATACCGGTTCGCCCCGATTATGTTTCTAGGTTTGTCAGCACCATACCCGTGCTCGTGGGTTTCACCGAAGTGGTAAACGTCTGAGACCTGCATCACTTCGGGCTTTCCTCCCACATCAAGCTGACACGCCGCGATATACCTGTAATACTGTTAAAAGCGGCGTTAAACCCAAATCACTCACTCACTCTAAAAACATAATACTTGTTGTCCTATAATCATCAGATGCAACTTTGTCTACTTTGTCAAAATAAAATTCCATTGGTGCGGTAGAAATACGGCACATACTTGAGCTTTTGTGGTGACAGTTGGTCTCATCTACAGCGTCCATCAACTGCTTGATGTCGTCCAGATGGTCTCCATACGCCAGGGACAGGGCGACCAGCAACACGAGGGCCTTCATAGCGTATCAGACGCGAAGTGCTGGGACATTCGGCTCATGGAACCGTATATTCTATGCATGTATATATATATATACAGCGACGGGCGTGGGAAAGGACGACGAGTCAGCCCTTTGACCTTGCATGGTGGCTGTCGATGAGACATACATCTAATAGATACGTCAATTATGGTACGTTTAATCATTTGTTGTTAGCAATTAATTATTAACTTCCTGTCGTTCAGCACCGATAATTATGCCTAATAACGAATGATTTCCGGTCAGGGCGTTTATTTAGGTTCAATTTAGAATTTGAGACTTATTAAAATTGGTTTCCCAACATGTACATTTTCAAGTTTCCTCGAGTGGAAATAGTTGCACATCACGCATAACACTGTAGTATGTGTGTGTGTGTGTGTGTGTGTGTGTGTGTGTGTGTGTTATTTACCACCTACTGTCTTATAGGGACTCATCTTTCTTTTTTTAGAGGAGGGGAAGTTTGCCGAGATTTGGTGGGTGTGAGGAAAATTTTACACAGAGGGGTAGGGGTGACGCCAAAAAATGTATCACAACCGGGGATGACTACGGAAGATTTTAGGGCAATTTGTTTTTGTTTCTTTCGATACTATCTTGAAATTTCAAGATACTAAGTCGAAATTTCAACTTAGTATCTTGAAATTTCAAGATAGTATCGAAAATAATTTTTAAAAAAGATGGCCCCAAAAGGCTTCCGTAGGTGACAGTTCTGTTGTGTATAATAATATTGAATTATTTTTGTTTGTTAATTAGAACATTATTCGCCTTGGAAATCGGTGACGTTTTGTTGAGGTGTCGTTTTAGCCTGTACCCTAAGGGACTGCTTCTTTATTATAGAGAGTCTCCACTGCGCCGGGGTGTGTAATGAAACACGCTGTGATTGTTTATTAAGAGTTATTTGCCCTTGGTTATTTGCGACATGGTGGAACAGTTATGTATATTTATATACGGTATCTCCAATAATTTCAGTGCTAAATACATGTTTACAATATCCAGTAATAATGTTATCTAAATTTAAGTCTGCAACATTCAAAACAAAAGACGAATTAGGTATTTTACGACAACCAAAACCAAGATTGTTCTACAACATGGTGGACGATTTACCATGTGGGTTGTGTTGCAGTGACCATATACTGAATTGAACTGTTCTTTCCACATGACGGTAAGTTGAAAATACATTTGAGTATATTGGGAGGACAGTGGGCTTGTCGTCAGAGAAAATTAGATATTCTATGACTGTAGCCCTATAGTTACCGCAATAAAATGTGTAAATATGCGTTATCAATGATTAGGAATTGAGGCCCCATCTTTCAGTGCCTGAATGAGTGTCAACTTTCATGTTTTACTGTACTTACTTACTTACTTACTTTGGAGATTTAACGTGCGCTTTCCGACTGATGCGTATTTCGCGCACGGGCCCGGCCAGGCCATTTAATGTGTTTCCGAAAGGGGCGAAAGTGGTCTGTGCAACCCAAGAGGGGCTTTAGGGGTTGCTTATATAGAATTTGGGAATTTTGAGATTTGGAATAGATGCCGATGGGGTTGGGGAGGAGAACTAAGGGAACTGGGTATGGTGGATGTTTGTTTGTTTATGTGATTTTGATTTGGCAGATTATTTTGTTTTTAGATGCTTTTTATTAGTTCCGTTTTGATTAAGAATACGCCTAAGGCCTTGAATTTTTCTAGTTTATTTTGTGGGTTTAGTATTGCTTCTAGAGTGAGAGCCTTGTTTAGATTGAGGGTGTTTTGTAATGCGGTTCGATGTGTTAGTGTGTGCAGTGGATGAGTGCGTGTTCTGGGGTTTCTAGTTGTTTGCAGTGTGGGCAGTAGTGTTTAGCAAAGAGTCTGTTTTTAGGTACGTTAGTCTGATGTTGGTTATGTGTATGTGTGTCAGGGAAAATCGGCTTTGGGGTGTTAAGTTATGACCATCTTTAACCTGGCAGGTCGGGGATAACCACAGATTGGCGAAAAGGTCTACGTCAGCATGGTCAGTCCAAGTATCGTGGTTATGTGCCCATTCTCGTCTAAGTGATTCTATTAACATCTGAGATGTTTTGACATCAGTGTCATTCAAAATAAATTCTATGGGTTTTTCTCTCCAGACGTTTAACACCAAGGTGGTCCAAATTCCACTTGGCCTCTCCCCTGGACAATGGAACTAATAATAATAACAAACAAACTTGAAGATGAGGCCAAGTTTTTTTTCTCGAGTTTGTTTACATGGTCCTGTGGCCTCCCTTACTTAGCATCGGACTAGGAATGCAAATCATACTAGACAGATAAACAACTCTGAAAGTGTATTGGTGTATAAGTGGGATTGAAAGATTTCTACAAATATTTTTGCAAGTAGGTAGATCACAAAAGTACTGCCAAATATACCATGTTGGTGTAAATGCAGTGTATATTTATTTTCACACCTTAATAGTTAGATGACTATTAACATCTCATTAGTGGTGCAAACATGCTGGGGCGGTCGGGGAGCCTAGTGGTTAAAGCGTTCGCTCGTCACGCTGAAGACCCGGGTTCGATTCCTGACATGGGTACAATGTGTGAAGCCCATTTCTGGTGTCCCCCACAGTGATATTGCTGGAATATTGCTAAAAGCGGCATAAAACCATACTCACTCACTCACTGCAAACATGCTGACACCAATATGACAAAAATGCTTGTGTTCAATTCAGAACTTAGAAAAACATTTTTTTAAAGTTCCAGCTTCTTTATGTTTGTTTTTTCAATTTCCTCAACTGCATGCCCTCTCTCGGGTCTCTCAATAAGTAACATATCTGTTATTCATTAAATTAAAATGAAAGTGTAATATAGACAGAAAGATATATATGGCCTGATAAGTTATGGACAGAACTAAATATGCCTCTTGGTGAATTTTTGTTGAGGCATGTTAAGTGTGAAGTTCCTCTGCATGATTTTTCTGAAGTTACATTTGAACAAGATGCTTATCTGGTGTGTTTTTAATATATTGATCCTTGGCGATAACGTGTTGCTAGCTATAGTACCTAGTTTCACTCTTTCGCTAAGTTATTGTTTCTGGTTTGTTGGTTTCTTGTACAGAATCGTAGATCAGAGCTGAATCTGTAGTTAGAAACAAGTCTGTGACTTATCATATGCATCCTAACATACATGTCTGCATACTGAAATTTGCCATTGCTAATGTGTACTTTTCAAACTTTGTTAAAATGTAAAAAAAATAGTTGTTAAGTTGAAATATCACCTTTGTTTAAATTGTGATAATAGCATGCTACACAGGATGATGAAAAAGATGTTTTTGAAAATGTATTGGAGAAGAATTTTCCTGTGAGATATATTATGAATTTTAACTAATTTTTAGTTTAATTCTTAGCATGCTTCGTTTTTTGGTTCTTTAAAGATTAAATGTATCAGTGTATATCATGTATATCAGACATTTTTGTTGTTGATAATTGCCGATTATGTCTGCAGTAGAAATGGTAGGTAGCATATTTTATCAAGATCACGTGGACCATTCAGATATAATTCTGACTTGGAGGTATGATGATGCTCGTTATCTCAGCAAGATCAGCTATTAGCAGAATGATTAGTTTGTCTGGCCCAGATTCCATATTGACAGACAGCTGTTATACTGCTGCAATATTTCTGTGTCTTTGAACAAGATGCATTGACTCACTCACTCAATAAATAACAATAAAAACATGTTAAATTTTGTTTTCAGGACTTGACAGCAGCCACAATGGAAGAAGGAGACTTTTTAACAGGAGATCATGTTCTCCAGGCCAGCGATGAGGAGGTAAATATTCCTTCGTTGTCTCAAACAAAGATAACAATTTTAAGTCGTATCAGCATATTTCATCCCAAACAGGCTCCACGGGAGATTTTGCTTGGGTGAAATGATACACAATGCTTTGCAGGCCATTGTGACATCATTGATTATTAGGACGCCATAATCATATGACTTGACTGAAGTCTCTGCCACTGAAGCGGGCTAGCAGTACTTTTTACACTCAAGGCTCTGATTATTACCATTACAAACTAAACAAAGGGAGGAAGAATGATTTTGGATGATGAATAGAATCTCATGCTTGTCTTCTGGTATCAAAGCCTCTGTGTTTTTAACTTTGATTGAACCGTGGTGATATGTTTGATGTCAAATGACATGAGATTCTCTATATGACAAACAAATCTGGAAATGTAACTCAATGTCTCCTAGCCTATACAATCAGGATATTGGACAAACTGGCCTTTCTCTCAAACTTTTGAAATTGGGGAATTTGGAAATGCTTATCATGCTTATGTCATGTATGTAAGTATGGCGTTTGTCTTGGGATTGAAAACCTGCCAAAAAACTAGCTACAAGACCATTGCAGTTTGCATGTATCCTGGCATTGATCATGTTAGTGAACACATCAACTGAGTGTTTTAACCCTTGATCTTTCCTCCCCCATGGCAGGAGGATCATGTGGAAGCTGACCGGAAACATGCCAAGCTCCTGGACTCCATCTCCGCTCTGGATGGAAAGAGAAGGTGACTGCTCCGAATGTGCTACCCTGAGAGTCAGTCAGGGCAGTGTTGCGTCCGCTGGGCTCCCGTCGACCTAAACTAGTATACATGTAGTCAGTTAGAGAGGCCTGCGACTAGATGACACTTAACATCTTTCATTGGTCCTCAGTATTGAATGAAAACATATGGAGAAATATGTGATGTTTTTGGAGTAAAACTGCCCTCAACAAAGTTATGTCAGTAAACACTAGAGCGTTATGTCCTAGCATAGTGAGTGAGTGAGTTTGGTTTTACGCCGCTTTTAGCAATATTCCAGCAATATCACGGCAGGGGACACCAGAAATGGGGTTTACACATTGTACCCATGTCGGGAATCGAACCAGGGTCTTCTGCATGACGAGAAAACACTTTAACCACTAGGCTATCCGACCGCCCATGTGTCCTAGCATAAGTTTCAAGGTGTAGACAAGTCTCCATTTGTAATTATGGATGGTGCATATGGACAACTATCACCACAGGGTTTGAATCTAACAATTCATAAGTTTGTTAGTCCGAGGCTTGTAAAAAATTCATCACACTTCTTTGTGGACTACCACTTTTACCAAGAGGTAGATAGCAAGTCTGTAACAGGTGATAAGTTGTGTGGATTAGTGAAAAGAAAAACTCATTTGTAACTCTGAACTTGATATGGTTTGTATGGTACCGCATTTTTGGGTCGCGCCTGTTGCTAAAAGCACTAAAGCTTGTTCTGCAAATCAACAGTGGAAACAAGTTTAAGTGTGGTGTTGCTCCAAGTTTGCCTAATCAACATGATCAAGATACCCATTTACTTGAGGTTGTCAGGGTATTTTATACTTGGCAATGAGGCAGGGATTTACATCATCCTGCCCAGTTCCGGGGTAGAATAGGTCTTCAGCAGCTCATGCTTGCCATAAAAGGTGAATATGCTTGTCGTAAAAGGTGACTAACCCGATCGCCAGGACAGACTCGCTGACTTGTTTGATGCATGTCATCGATCCCAATTGCGTGGATTGATGCTCATGATGTTAATCACTGGATTGTCTGGTCCAGACTCGATTATTTTACAGACCGTCGTCATATAGCTGGAATATTGCTGAGTGCGGCGTTAAACAACAAACCAACCATATCATCCTGCCCAGAGACCAATATTCGGCCCTAAGTCTGCAGCAAATATCAGTACAAATGCCCAAATTGGAATTCAGAATTTCTAAATTTGTGTTGATTTTGGTCACTAAAGTTATAGTTTTGTAGAGGTGGCTTGTATTTCACCTGTAACAGGACCAATAAAGAGGAAGAGGATTTATTGCATAGTTTAAACTGTTTTACAATATTGCACAAAATGCAATGATAAAATGCCAAGTTATATTTCCTCTGAAGATAAGAGACCCGTGAAGATCCGAGTTAGAATAGGTCTTCAGTAACCCATGCTTGCTGTAAAAGGTGACTATGCTTGTTGTAAGAGGCGACTAATGGGATTGGGTTTTCAGGCTTGCTGACTTGGTTGATGCATGTCATCATATCCCAATTGTGTGGATTGATGCTCATGATGTCAATCACTGGATTGTCTGGTCCGATTATTTACAGACCGTCGTCATATAGCTGGAATATTGCTGAGTGCGGCGTTAAGCAACAAACAAACAGAAGATAAGAAAACAAGCATTTTCAAAACAATCCTAATTTTGTACAAACATCACAAAATCTTCAGACATAACAAGTGTTTTCTTGTCTCTACAGGTCCAAGCTGTCAGAGAGAACCGTTCTCACAGAGACGGTGTCAGAGTTTGGATTCAGCCAGGCCAGAGGTAGGTACATTTCAATGATGATAACATCGATACCAGTGCTTGTCCGTGTCGGTCCCAAGCAACCTGTGCTGGTCGTATGAGGCGACTTCATGGATTGGGTGGTCAGGCTCGGTGACTTGGTGGATGGCATGGTCATTGTACCTGGACGTACTGGATCCTTGCTCATAATATCAACCACTTGATTGCTTGGTTCTGACTCGATTATTTACAGGCCGCCATCACTGTGTGTGACATAATTTTACAACTAAACTGAGAAATCTCTGGTATTCAAGTTTCAGTAATGTTAAAACTTCAATTTGAGTCAAACAGGTTTTGGTCACTTGCAGAGCTTGTAACAAGGGAGGATAAAAAGCGCGACAAAGGGTACAGTACATCCCTGAAATCAGAATTCGGACATTTAAAACCTAGCTTCTGACCATTTGGGCAGGATAGTCCCATTTTGAATGTTTATATTTGACAGCTGAATGATAAAATATCATAGCTGACAAGATAGAAATTTGTGTTAGCAAGTCAGGCTACTGAGCATGTGCTTCTTCACTACCATTAAAGGCCATGGCATCAGTACAAATTTCTAATCAAAATACTTGATCAATGTAGAAGATCAGATAGGAAATTCCAAATGAAAGACAACAATGTCAGTCCTGAACTTTCTTTTCCATAAACATGATAAAGTAGGACAGAGGTTTTCATAAAATTCTGCTGTATGGTCGGCTCCAAAACAAACAGACAAACCTAGTTCAGGTTTACTAGTTACCAGTGTTTTCCTGATTAGATAATGTACTGCAGCTGAGTGCACCAAAAAACAAACATCTCTGTTATGTATAACAAGAGCTGATATATGCCAGTAGGGCTGGGACGGGTAACTCGGGTACCCGGGTCGGGTGGGTACTGAGTAGGACCCGGGTACCCACAGGACTACCCGGACCCATGGTTAGTCATGTGATATGTTGTTGAATGACCAAAAAATATCTGGAACTCTATGGTTACACTACAAGTTACTAATGTTCGCATTTCTTTGTGACTATGCACCCATTCCTTCTGATTTTTCATATGGTTGAATAGAGATATAACTTAAGTCAACTTCAGTGTATGCATGACCAGATTGTTCAATACATGTATCTAAATACGTTTTGCCAGGGCTGTGGTAAAAAATTCCCAATCGGACATTTTGAGACATGTCCTGAGACCTACAGTGGGTATCCGGGTCGGGTGGGGTAATAGGGGGGCGGGTACCCGGGTAGTAAATTGGGACTTGTCCCAGCCCTAGTTGCCAGCTACATCGTAAGAGCTAATTCACTCCATTTTGTTAGCTATGCAATTATCATGCTAAAGTGTGGATTGGATGGTCAGGCTCTGTGACCTGTGCTGATTGTGTGTAGTCACGCCCTGACAAATGTGTCAGACACTTGTCATGCTGACAGCAGCTGCTGGGGCAGACTTGATAATGTACAGGATGCAGTGTTCCTGTTTACCGGTAATTACCAGTTTTTTACCGGTAAAATTAGGCTTGGACTGGTAATTCATGTGACTGCCAGTCCCTCCGGACCGGCAAATAAAGTACCTTATGAATCTTTGTTGTTGAACAAAACATTGGCGTTATTCATATGGGTACATTTTTTTAACTTGGGTCAGCTTGTCTGTTACCATCAGGGTTTCCCCTTGTCTATTTTTATTGCAAGGAAATAACATTTTGCTTTGCTTTGAGTGACTTCGTCTCGAAACATTAAAAAAAAGGACAAAATTGTGACTGAAGTTAGTGTGAATGATGTATAGATCTAATTAAGTTACTTCAGAGATGACGTCTTTGCACTGAACATGATGTTGAAAGAATTAAAACCAGGTAATTTTCATACATTTTTTTATTTGTTGAAAGTTGGGACTGGCAAAAACTAGGGTGGGACTGGTAATTATTAGAGCTGCCAGGCCACAAGAACTGGCAGTTTCAGAAGTCAGCGGGAACACTGCAGGATGCCATGGTATAGCTGTAATGTTACTGACTGTCTTGTGTTGACTCCTTCCAGCTGAGAGGAAGGTGCGCCTACATGAGCTGATCGGCAGCCTGCAGCACACCACGAGTCACGGCGAGCTGAAGAAGCAGCTGCGAGCTGTCCACAGACGAACCAAGGTCGCCCCTGTTCCTCTGTCTAAAGTGGAGGAAACCAAGGTCAGCACGTCTTTCCATTCTCATGTTGATGATGCAATAACATGACTAAGTCATTAGTCCAGTTTCTATGCATGTACCTGTCTTGTTGGTCCAACTTAGGTAGCAAAGTTTTTAAAGCATTATGTCAAAGACTTGATTTGATTTGAATGAAATCCGTTCATGGTGTTTCCTGCTGTGATTTGGCTACAGTATTGCAAAAACTGCATAAAACTATATTCACTTACTTTTATCCAAAATTAAGTGAAACTATGGAATATGTGTGAGTGTTGTTCGATGTATTATGATGATGATGATGATGTGCCCCAAAAGACATGACTGCACTTCTCCATGCAGAGTTGCTTCCCTTTAGTAGTGATTTTGTGCTGCTGTCAGGTGCCATTTGCAGTGAAACCTTTTTATTCTAGTTAGTGCTATGTGTGAAACTGAGACATTGTCTCTGTGTCATTAGGGGGCGGTCAGGTAGCCTGGTGGTTAAAGCGTTCGCTCGTCACGCTGAACACCCGGGTTCAATTCCTGACATGGGGACAATATGTGAAGCTCATTTCTTGTGTCCCCCGCCATGATATTGCTGGAATATTGCTAAAAGTGGTGTAAAACCATACTCACTCTGTGTCATTGGGGTATCTGCTACAGTCATGTACAATACACAATTTTCGTGACAAACAAAGTGGGTTTTAAGGGACTTAAATCAAATTCGCTAGGACTGCCAATTAAATGGAATGTAGACCCCCGTTGACTGGCACGATTAACTTGTGTTGGGTCAGATCCAAGATTTGTCCTGATTATGATCATGTCAGCATACCCAGAGAAGTAAACGACTACTGCCCTGGTCACATTAGGCTTTTCTCCCTACAAAGCTGACAAGCCTTGATACTGTTTGAGAGTGGTGGGTAATGGTGCCAGAGTATTATGTTCCATTGTGCGCCGTCTGTCAACATTGTTTTGTTGGAAACTGTAGGTTGCGAGTGTGATTCTGCAGTGCCCAACCCAGACAGCGCGATTGCGCGATCCACGCTAAAAAAAATCAAATCGCCCCTAAAAAAAACTCAAAGCGTGATCTGTCGCTCACAGTAATTTCTTGTACAGTCACTTACTTTATCAGCTGTTTATCCCTACCTTTAGATTCAATACTCACTAAATCTTTATTCAATTAACGAAGAAAGACAGTTCACAGCAAACATTGTAAACAACTGTCGAAAACCGATCGATAATAACCGGAAGTTCAAACAAGAGTTATACATCCCTTGGGTTGCTGAATAAATTATCGACAGGATTTGCATAGGAAACGAAATTTAATTTACCGGTACTTTAGTAGAAAGTGTATCAAAACTTTGATCAAAATTATGTTGTATTTTGTTGTTTAGTAATCAAAAACCTTTGACAAGATGTTAAAAGACAAATAAATATTCTATATTGAATAGTTCTAGAAGTATTTTTGAGCACTTTAGTTCGTTTTAGTTTCGTTTCTGAAATCACACAATATGAATCGCCGACTGTCATTGCAGACGATCTTTTGATAGTGAAAATGTCTCGCCAAAACAAAAACATTACAGACTTTTTTAATCAAAATAGATGTTCTAAAAAAGACAATGATGAAACCACAGTGACTGTAATGACTTCTCAAACTGAAGGGGAAATCGATCCCGGTCCTAGTGATTCTAAAAAGCAGTTCTTTATTCTGATCTTTTACACTTTTATATGATGATGTTCCAGTACATAATACAAAATAAGACATATTTGAAGAAAGCAGTTCACCAAGCCCGATTCCAATCTGTTGCAGATCCAGAGAACTACAGCCTATGAGAAGACCAAGGATGACCTCACCAAGTGGAACTCAGTTGTTGCTGACAACAGAAAAGTAACCACCCTTATTTGATTTCTTATCCAGAAAGGGGTTTTGGGTAGCCTAATAAAAGCAAATTCCAACATTGGTTGATCATGAAAAGCCTTTTCCATGCAGTGCAGCCACTTAATTTTGGCTGAAATAAAATATTACTGTTTACTGGGGAAATAAATTTGGATTACAGTTCCGGGGGGCGATGAACTATTCTTATGACAATATTTCATATTGACTTCTGTATTTCTTTGGTGTTCTGAAAATGAACTTCTCAGGAACAATATTTTCATCTTATTTTGTGTGTTTTATAAATTCTCCTACTAGTAAGTGGGGTTGCAGTGCTGTTACAAGTGCAGACAAACCACAACCTGAGATGAGGCTGTGAGTCAGACAGTGGTTCACAAGCAACATATTTGGTCCTCATTTCAGGCCGAGCAGATCTCGTTCCCTCTGCAGCAGCCCAGCTTGAAGCTGCAGACAACAGATGAAGTCAAGACCAGATACAAGGTAGTCACCGTACATGTATGCTACCTGTAGGCTATCTGAAGAGGGGCGGTCGGGTAGATTAGTGTTAAAGCGTTCGCTCGTCACGCCGAAGACCCAGGTTCAATTCCCGACATGGGTACAATGTGTGAAGCCCATTTCTGGTGTCCCCGGCCGTGATATTGCTGGAATATTGCTAAAAGTGGCGTAAAACCATACTCACTCACTCACTCACTATCCGTAAGATCAAGCATTAACTCTAGTGAAACCTGGGGGCTCAGGGCTTGGTTACCTGAAGACACCCCAGTTTCCAGAGTAGTTCATTAGGGCTGCCAGAGTCCATCTTCCCAAGGCAAGGGAGTTAACTGACTTTAAAAGTCCAGTTTCCATCCTTGCCGAACTAGACTGGAACTTCTGGGCTGGATCGTAGCGCCACCCATGGCTATTATGAGTTATGTCCTTCTATGTCCCTCCTACTGACTAATATACTCCCACCTCTCGTATCACTTGCATTTGATTCAAACAATAAGGCTGCACCTAGTCAAGATCATCTGATCGATAATCAAGATCTATATTGTAATAAAACCGGTTTCACTTCACAAAGTGCATCAATCATGTGAGCACCCTGATTAAAAACATGACAAGATTTGGAAAATATCTGTTGACGCTAAGTTGACAGTAGACATGCTTTGCATATCCTGCAATTGGCTGAAATCTGCACAGCAGTTAAATAACCGGATGTCTATTTCATTATGATTGATTGGACTATGCATAGACTAGCTTGAAATATTTTGATGGTCCCCAGGTCTTCTTGTTACTAGGTTCGTACAGGCTTGAAAAGGCCATAAATTTTCAGGTCCCTCTTGAAAAGCCTTAAATTTTAGTGTCAACAATGAAAAGCCTTGAAATCACCAAAGCCTTGAATTTGTACGAAATAACATAGGCTTGTCAATAAAAGTAGGGGGACAAATCGTGATAGATTTGACACTTTGCCAAGCACCTTGAAGAATTCCTGACAGACTTTTTTATTTTATTTATTGGTTGTGCAAATCAATCTTGTGGGAAAATTTGTTAGGTGCTCATACTGCTTTTCAGGTCTTACTACTAATATAATGGTCTTACAGTATGCTCGATTAAAAAAATACTGACAGACTGAGGCTAACCCAACTAAGAAAGCCTTGAAATTGACACTTCGCAAGGCCTTGAATTTTTGTGTTCCATATCTGTATGAAGCTTGAGTAAACATGGGCCTGTTGGGATTCAACGTCTGAATATAAAATATAGTAGTGATTTGGTGGTTAGGTTCAGTGACTTCAGAATTTGTGTGATCGTACCTTAGCTAGATGCATTGCTTCCACATTATATTTTATGTATGGTTGTGTGTTGTGCAGCCCCGCACGCCCCTGGAGATGGAGATTGCAGCACTGCTACAGAAACACAGCGACAGCGTTGGCAGCCGTGACAAGGAACTAACGCCAGCAGAGGAGCGGGCTCTCAATGCCATGAGTCTGGAAGAGGTAGGCTATTGTTTCCTGGCTTTGTTCTTGTCAATATTCGCCTTTCAACTTAAGTATCTGGCCTTTGTAGGGCTGTGAGTGTAATTGCTGCTCTCTGGGTATTAATCTTTCATAAAAGAAGAAAATTATAACTTCAGGTTAGTATGCTTGTTTGAAAACATGATGATTATCATGTTCATCCCATTTTTGTACTATACAGCATGAAGCTCTTGCTATCAACCTCAGACTTGATTGGTGATTCAGCTATATTCTGGATATTCATTCACATACATTTTGTATATAGATGCTAGCAATGAAAGGCAGACAATACATGTAGGTGTTTGAGACACAAGTTCTGCTACAGGTGGTGATCTGTGATGTTTCAGGCCCAGGAGAGACGAGCGGAGCTGCAGAAGTACCGGGCACTGCTGACATACAAGCAGGCAAGGGCAAAGAGGGAGAAGAAGATCAAGAGTAAAAAGTCAGTCATCCATCAGTCCCTTTCATTATGTAATTTTAGGACTCTTTTCGGACATTATGAGAGCAGATGAATACATACCTGATGCAGGGATGCAGCTTCACCTGAAACATGTCTCAGCCTGCATAGTGACAACAGACAATGACACACATGAGTGGTGAATTCTACAGGCACTTGGGTACCTGTAACATCAGACAGACTCTGGCTAGCAGGCTAGATGTTATATCTTATTCTGTCAATAACCTGGACCCTTTCACCTTGTTTTGGGGACCCGTTAAGGTCTGGGTAGAGAAAAGGTCTTCAGCAACCCATGCTTGTTGTAAGAGGTGACTAACGGGATCAAGTAGTCAGGCTTTGTTGATGCATGTCATCGTATCCCAATTGCATGGATTGATGCTCATGATGTCAATGGCATGCCTGGTCCAGACTGGTCCAGACTTGATTTTTTACAGACCGCTGTCATATTGCTGGGATATTGCTAAACAAGCATGCAACTTCATTTTGGGTGTTATTCGTATGATACAGGCAGCCAAGAAACTGGAATACTGGTAACTGCAGTCTATGACTAACTCATAGCTTGATTGAGCTTGGTTAGGTAATGTGAATGAGACTGGTGACTAGAACTATAAGTACCGGTAGTTGAGGCAACAGACAATAGTATTTTTTAGTTTATCAAAGCATGTGTACATCACACCCTCATTGTTTATTTGTTTGTCCGGAAAACCCACTTTCTGGACTGTAAGGAATATGTACGTGTGAGCCAAGGTACATACAAGGTACCCAGGATTGGTTATAAGGGAATTTGTCGTTCAAGATAGTCACTGATGTTAACACGTGGTTGCTGGTGTGCAGGTATCACCGTATCCTGAAGAAGGAGAAGTTGAAGCAGGAGAAGGCACGGCTGGAGGAGCTGCAGCGTATCGACCCTGAGGCCTACGTGGAGAAACTGCAGCAGCTGGACAGGGACAGGGTGCAGGTGGGTGCAGCAGGGGGGACAGGGTGCAGGTGGGTGCATCTGGGGGGACAGGGTGCAGGTGGGTGCTTTTGGGGGGACAGGGTGCAGCTGGGGGGACAGGGTGCTCCAAGGGGACATGGTGCAGATGGGTGCAGCGAGGGGGGGGGCGGGGGTATGGTGCAGCAGGGGGAACAGGGTGCAGGTGGGTGCAGCAGGGGAACAGGGTGCTGCAGGGGGGACAGGGCACCGGTGGGAGAGGGTGCAGCTTGGGGGACAGTGCTGTAGGTGGATGTAGTGGGGGTACATGGTGCGTGGGATGGAGAAAGTGTGGGGGTAGAGACTGTGCAGAGAGTGGGGTGGTGGAACAGGGAGAGGGGGTGAAAATCTCATGATTATATCAATTGGCCTAACTGTCATGTTGATGTTGCAGGAGAGGATGACCCTGAAGCACAGGGGAGGCAGCAAGTTTGCTCAGAGACAGAAGATCTACGGCAAATATGATGACAGGGTAAGTGTTTGGTAAACATGATTACCTGGACATCAAGAGAGATGTTAATACCTGTAGGGCTGGGACGGGTAGGGCCCGGGTACCCACAGGACTACCCGAACCCATGGTTAGCATGGTTAGTGATGTGATATATAATTTAGTGAAGACCAAAACTACTAGCCGAAAGCTATGAATACACAATGCCATTTAGAAAGTGGTCAAATGTAACAAATGTTATATTTGGGATAACACTTTCTTAGTAAAGTACAGTGTAGGTTCGAATCCCGGACGGGACTCAACCCTAAAAAGTACGAGAATCTGTACTTTACTAAGAAAGTGTTATCCCAAATATAACATTTGTTACATTTGACCACTTTCTAAATGGCGTTGTGTATTCATAGCTTTCGGCCATGGGAGCCGTGCCAATTTACACTTGTCAGAGGGGTACTCAAAGTACGTGATCTAGACTTCCAGTTGTCGGACTTTCATTTTTGTGGAAGCCTTGGTGGCTGAGTGGGTTAGATCGCCGACTTTGTGTGCTGGCGATTAGGTGCATCACTCTGGCAAGTGTGGGTTCGAATCCCAGACGGGACTCAACCCAAAAAAGTACGAGAATCTGTACTTTACAAAGAAAGTGTTATCCCAAATATAACATGTGTTACTAATGTTTTGACAAATTTAGCACTGCTAGAACTGCCAATTTGCCAGAGACTAATCACCCTCTAATGGAGACATTTCTGTAACCTTGGAAAAAAAAAGTCTCTTGGTCAGATCTCATCCGTGCTTAAAGATATAAATAGATAAAATCTCCTCTTCCAGAGTAGAGATGCTGTACAGAGCATGATACAGATGAACAAAGAGCTGACCAAGAAGACCCAGCTGGAGGAAGATGGCAACAGTGACTCCGAAGGTGGCGTCAGCATGCACAGTGACGGGGAAGAAGAGATGATTGTCAGTCAGCTTGGCATGGCCAGGGGAGATAACCCTTGGATGACTGCACGACCCAAAGTGTCTGAGTTTCAGAGGCCTGGGACTGTCAACAATACTGAGCAGGGCACGGTCTCTGATGAGGGAGAAGCCAGTGAAGTGGAGGAACAACAGGATGGTCCAGAGGAAGAGCAGGATGAGGTGGAGGAAGAAGACCAGGATGCACCAGAGGAAGAAGATGAGAGTGAAGATAATGACACTAGTAATCTTTCTAAAGAAAGGAGTTCAGGTGTGACATCAAACAAGAGAAAATCGGAAAGCGACAGTGAAAAAACAGAAGTTGTAGCTTCTTCAAAAAATAAGAGAAAGAGAAGAAAGAGGAAGAAAGTAAACAACAGTGATAAGGGGGACAAGGGGAAAGGGGATACCATAGACTCCATATTTAGTCATTTGAGTGAATCACGGTTACAAATTGCAAAAATGTTAGAATCAGATGAAAAGGAGATAAGTGGTAAGAAAAAAAAGAAGAAGAACAAGAGGAAGAAGAGTAACCATGGAGATGGTGAAATGGACTCAAAGAAGGAGAGTGATGATGAGGAAGATGGTGATTTGATGGATCTGTCTCTAAACAGAAAAAAGACGTTAGAGGATATGGAGGGAGATTTTGAGGAGAGTGGAAAACAGAAGGGAAGCTCCAAGTCTGGGGGAAAGAAGTTGAAAACGGAGAGTGGGCCCACAGAAAAGACCAGGACTGAAGATGTGTTTGTCGACCCCAAGAAGCTGTTTACTCTGGAGACAAAGCTGTCTCATTCAGCCGCTGTTGACATAATCACGGACGAAGATGGAGGGATGGACTTCGAGGAGCAACAGAGGATGACAATTGCTCAAGCGTTCGCGGATGATGATGTGGTTGATGAGTTCACAAAGGAGAAGGCAAACATCGCAGACCGAGACAAACCCAAGAGTATAGACTTGTCGCTGCCAGGATGGGGGGAGTGGGGAGGAACGGGACTGAAGCCATCGAAGAAGAAGAAAAAGAGGTATTCTGGTTTATAGCTGTCATATCCTCAGATATCCAGTTGGTATTCAGTGTTGTACAAGAACGTATCAGTGAGCTCCTTGACAGGGTATTCAGATTAAACAAATCATTTTGACACTGGTTACCTCCCTCAAGATGCAGAAATTCATAGACTGTCAAGCTCCTCTCTCAGTACTCAGTTCAGTGAGTTACGGGGATCCACTTCATGTATGCTTTGAGCCCTCTACAGGCTATATATTGTTCCAGATTTGTTGGCTGCATCGTGTTCCAGATTCTTGATTACAGCAATCATATAGGATGTTTCTGTCTCTTTGAAGTGCTCTCTCTGATCCATGGGATATGCATAATTGAAGACATCTCTTGAAGTTAATACTCTTGTACTTATGTTCTTAAAGTCCAAAGAAAGGCCTAGTAGATTGCCATTTCAAAAATTCAAATAATTATTTTCACACCAATATTTTGCAACTTTAAAATTTGACATATCCAGTGATCACAAAGGGCCCTTTTCCTACCTCGGCATTTCGCCAGAGTAAGAATAATGACTTTCAACATGCTCACACAATAAGTAGCAGTCTTGCAAATTGTTGTTGCTTTATGGGAACCAAGATATTCAAGTAGTTAAACGTTTCTTCTTCCACTCTCTCTTGTGTGCCCTGTTTGATGATGGTGTCCATGTTTGTGTTCCAGGTTTACACTGAAGGGTCCTGATGCAGCCCCGAGGAGAGATCGGGATCTGGGTAATGTCATCATCAGTGAGAAGCTGGACGACGCCATCGCAAAACATCAGGTACATGGGGAGATAGTTCAGGGAAGTCAATGCCTCCTGCTTGCAAAGTTCAATCAAACATTATACAAAGTTTCTTTCTGTTTTTGGGGATAAGACTTGATAAACATATATCAGTCAAAAAATAAAAAAATAAAAACGGCTATGTGTCAGTATTACCTGGGATGGGGACTGGCTCTTGGACGTCATGTCCCCCAGTCCCCACTTTAGCCTCTGGAGGAGGCTGTGTGTCAGTATTACCTGGGATGGGGACTGGCTCTTGGACGTCATGTCCCCTAGTCCCCACTTTAGCCTCTGGAGGAGGCTGTGTGTCAGTATTACCTGGGATGGGGACTGGCTCTTGGACGTCATGTCCCCCAGTCCCCACTTTAGCCTCTGGAGGAGGCTGTGTGTCAGTATTACCTGGGATGGGGACTGGCTCTTGGACGTCATGTCCCCCAGTCCCCACTTTAGCCTCTGGAGGAGGCTGTGTGTCAGTATTACCTGGGATGGGGACTGACTCTTGGACGTCATGTCCCCCAGTCCCCACTTTAGCCTCTGGAGGAGGCTGTGTGTCAGTATTACCTGGGATGGGGACTGACTCTTGGACGTCATGTCCCCCAGTCCCCACTTTAGCCTCTGGAGGAGGCTGTGTGTCAGTATTACCTGGGACGGGGACTGGCTCTTGGACGTCATGTCCCCCAGTCCCCACTTTAGCCTCTGGAGGAGGCTGTGTGTCAGTATTACCTGGGATGGGGACTGGCTCTTGGACGTCATGTCCCCCAGTCCCCACTTTAGCCTCTGGAGGAGGCTGTGTGTCAGTATTACCTGGGATGGGGACTGGCTCTTGGACGTCATGTCCCCCAGTCCCCACTTTAGCCTCTGGAGGAGGCTGTGTGTCAGTATTACCTGGTATGGGGACTGGCTTGTTGGGCGTCTTGTAACTGTTACTGATGATGTTGAGGATGGGGAACAGCATTTTCCTGAGACAATGCTGTTAACTGACTATAAATGTCCCGTTTCCATCCTTGCTGAACAAGATTGGAATTTCAGGGCTCGATCATAGCTCCACCAGGGGCTATTATGAGTTATGTCCCTTCTATGTCCTTTCCTATTGACCAATCAGATTCCACCTCTCACATCACTAGCATTTGCTTCAGACAAAATGGCGGCACCCAGTCAAGACGATCTGATCTGTAATAAAAGTCCCCATAAAGCAATGTTTAGGCAACATGTTTTGCAACTCACTCACTCTCCTTGTAGGTTGCCCGACTGCCGTTCCCCTACACCAGCCCTCAACAATTCGAACAGAGCATCAGAGCACCTGTTGGCAAGAACTGGAACCCTGAGACAGCCTTCCGCAAGATGATCCAACCCAAGGTGCTCACAAAGCTGGGAACTGTCATCAAGCCTATTGACAAATCTGAGGTTTTTGAGAAAGAGAAACAACAGCCTGAAAGTACTGCTGCAATGAAGTTTGGCCAAACTGATGGGAAGAAAATGTCTGCCAAAAGAAAAAGGAAAGGAAAATGATTAAAAAATGTAAAGAAAATTGTATATAAATGATGAAATAAACCAAAAACATCCTTTTATTGTTTTGATTTACCCAATATTTTTTTTTAATGATTTACAGGGCTAATGATTGTCATACCTGTATATATTAATTGTGAAACTCACTGCAAAATGGCCCAGTCGTCTATGGCGCCACAATTCGCAATGCAGAGTTGCATCCCTTAGGTGTGCCAGAAGCCGATGCCCATGGGAGTGAATTATGGTCAACCCTGATCATATTCCAAGGTTTGTCGGCACCATACCCCTGCTTGTTGGTTTCACCAAAGTGATAATCCTCATAGACCTGCATCACTTTGGCTTTCCTACCCATCAAGCTGACACTTCCTGATATAACTGAAATACTGTTAAACACTGAGTAAACTCATCCACTGCAGGGGGCACGGGTGGCCCAGTCGTCTAAGGCGCCACGATTTGCTGTGCAGAGTTGCGTCCCCTGGACACGCCAGAAACATGATTGTGGGTTCGAATCCCGGTTCACCCCGATTATGTTTCTAGGTTTGTCAGCACCATACCCGTGCTCGTGGGTTTCACCGAGGTGGTAAACGTCAGAGACCTGCATCACTTCCTCCCACATTAAACTGACACGCCATGATATAACTGGAATACTGTTAAAAGCGGCGTTAAACCCAACTCACACTCACTCATCCACTGCAAAATGGGGATGAGACCTTTGGCAACATTCACTTTCTCAGATTTAGAACAAAATGTTAGATTGGCCAAATGATCTGAAGCGCCATGGTATGAGTCCAACTGATTTGCAACAAAAGATTCGTATGTCTGGTTGAATCACAAATCTAGAATGATTTCGAGCTACTACTTTCCTGAACACCCTCCTGCAAATCAAGCATTGTGTGTGACAACGAAAACACTTGTCTACTTGTTCGTTGACTACATCCTGTTTTCTGAGGCAACCTGTCCAGTTTGATATGTTATCCAGATTAAGGTAATCAGTACTTAACCATATTTACACAACACCCACTTAACTAGTTGCAGAGTAGCTACACAATGCTCCCAGGCAGAGGTGGCAGATCAAACCGGGTGATGGAGTGCTCATTCTCTGTTTCCTTGCTACATTGCATTGGATTAATGGCTCTAGGCACAGTTACAGGACACATCAGTGCATGTACACAGCCCAGTGGGAATTCGGGTTAGATAAGGGGGTCAACCGTGGCCCAGTCGTCTTAGGCACTGCAATTCGCTGTGCAGTCGCGTCCTTTGGGCATGCTAGAAACCTATGATTGTGGGTTCGAATCCCGGTTCGCCCCGATTATGTTTCTAGGTTTGACAGCACCATACCCGTGCTCGTGGGTTTCACCGAAGTGGTAGACGTCTGAGACCTGCATCACTTCGGGCTGACTCGCTGCGGTATAACTGTAGTACTGTTAAAAGCGATGTTAAACCCAACTCACTCACTCACAAATAACTGATAATGGTTTCCAATTACAATTTACCTTGGTTACGTTTCAAGATAAGTCTGCACCATATTCTTCATCAAGGTGGTAAACGTCCCAGATCACATAATGGTTTCCCCCCACATCGAGCTGATATAACTGGAAAAATGTTCAAAGCTGCGTTACACTAAACTCACCCACCCACTCACCCACACAGATTGTGAAGATTCGGGTTAGACTTAGTCTTAAGCAAACCATGCTTGTCGTAAACGGCGACTAACGGGATCGGGAGGTCAGGCTTGCTGGCTTGGTTCATGCTTATATCTCAATTGCGTAGATGGATGCTCATGGGGTCAAAGGATCGTCTGGTCCAGATGCGATTATTTACAGACCGCCGTCATAAAGCAGCAAGTTTTCTAAGTGTGGCCTTAAACAGCAAACAAACAAACACTAATAACTATTACACTAAACCACTATACAAATTAACAATTTCAGCTCCATCCGAAAGATACCAGACTAGACCAGGTGACCCCTGAAGATCCGGGGTATAGAATAGGTCTTCAGCAACCCATACTTGCCGTCAAAGGCGACTAACGGGATCGGGTGGTCAGGCTGCTGACTTGGTTGATGCATGTCATCGATCCCAAAGGCGTGGATCGATGTTCATGATGTCAATCACTGGATTGTCTGGTCCAGACTCGATTATTTACAGACGGCTGTCATATAGCTGGAATATTGCTGAGTGCGGTGTGAAAAGACAGACAAACAATCAGTCAAACAGTTGGTTCATTCATTATGAGTGAGTGAGTTAGTTTTGTGCTGAGTGCAGCGTTAAACAACAAACACACAAACTAGGCCAGGTAATTTGCCTGGAAGCTAAGACATTTTTACTTTATTTGTATTCATCCTGGTGTGCCCGGACTATACCCCTGCTTTCACATGGCTTTCGCGTGGCTGAACGTCAGTGACCGGCTTTCTTCGCACATTAACCCACCAAGCCCGATATATTGAAATACTGAGTGTTCAAAGCTGCGTTAAATCCATTCCTCTCATTAATGGGTCGCATAAACATGCATACCTCCATGGCCGTATTAAAAAGCCGTTCACCTCTCTAGACGTAAACGTTCACTGCAGTTACCAGTTATTCACTGAAAAATAAGGGAAGACCTTGCCGGCTGACGTGATCTGGGTTCAGATCTTCGAAACACGTCAGCACTACGATCCCCGTAATCCAAGACACCCGTGAAGATCCGGGATTATGGAATAGGTCTTCAGCAACCCATACTTGCCATAAAAGGCGACTAACTTGACCGGGTGGTCAGGCTCACGAACTTGGTTGATGCATGTCATCGATCCCAATGGCGTGGATCGATGCTCATGATATTAATCACTGGTTTGTCTGGTCCAGACTCGATTTTTTACATACCGCCGTCATATAAATATTGAATATTACTGAGTGCGGCGTTAAACAACAAACCAACCGTAATCCAAGAATGCAGTATCAATGTATGTGATCGAGTTACGATAATCGCAGCCCTAAGATCGTTCCCAACAGCTAGGCTGTTAGGTTAAATTGTGATCTCAAAGACTCTGCTCGTGAGGTCTGTAGGTCAATGGAAAAAAAACAAAAACATCAAAAGCTGTCTTAAAAACAAACTGTGCCTGTAATTATTTCTCGAATTTGCACACAATATCAACTGACTGAGAAATACATATTCAGATTAGTTGTTTGTTGTTTTAACGCCGCAACTCAGCAATATTCCAGCTACATATGACGGCGGTCTGTAAATAATCGAGTCTAGACCAGACAATTCAGTGAGTTACACCATGAGCATTAATCTACGCATCAGGCATACCATGACATGCATCAACCTTGTCATGCAGCTAGCCTGACCACCCGATCCCGTTAGTCGCTACTTGCGATAAGTATAGTTGCCTGTTATGACAAGCATGGTAAATTTACTGAAGGTCAATTCTAACCTTGATCTTCACGAGCATCAAACTAGTTTGTGTGTCCGTTCATATGACAGTATATATGAGCACTCGTAAAAATCACAATATACATTCCTTTCGATGTTTTAATATTCAAAGTGATTGGTCACCTCATAACAGATGCTGTTATAATGGTTTGCGATCACGACGTATATTTCAGCTGTTTGGTGTGTATAGCTCGAAATCAATATGCATTTCGATCTTTTGAACGTGATTATCATCGGTTGGGCTATAATTCCATACATATGCAGTGCCCTTAGGCTGTATATAGTATAAGAGCCGATTTAAATTATTATTTGGTGGTTATCGTATGATCAGAGTGTTATTTCACTTGCGCAATCATAAAATACATTACAGTATCAGTAGACACAGTTATCGACCAATTTTATGAAAAGGAAGTTTTGCCTCAACTCATATGGGCAATAATGATGGATGTTCACAGAAAGGTGTGGTTGCCACAACAGAACTGATACCATAATAACGGAAATAAAACGCAAAAGTTTACTGTAATGGAAAAGAAGTGTGTCTCAAGCAATAGGAATTCGTATGTTTTTAAATTTTATTGTGAACAGCACAGCTTAAGAATTCCTGTGACTAAATCCAGCATACACGCTTTCGAAGCCCGGATCTTCTACTCCTCTTTGATATGATAAGCTATTCTTGCGTGTGACTAGTGAGATTATTCTGATCGATCGAATTCTCTCTCAGAATATCCCTGCGAAAAGATCTTATCAACTCATAGTCCACCTGTAAAGTTTACGACACAAGCGCCGACAATGACTCATTGATGGTCCCGTAAAAATTTGTTAGAACTTTTCTGATTGGTTGTCGCTAGCTACATTGTAGTCACGTGATATCAACAGTCTCTGTGGTGGTCGAAACGGGAATACGGAGGGACTCTGAAAATGAGGAAAAAAAGACTAAAACGATTAAAATGCTAGTTGAAGGTGGAGGTGAGTAGAGCTATTGCGTATTCTCCTCTGCCAGATTATGTTTTATGCACAGACATTGTGGAGGTAGCCTAAAAACGGTCATGCGAAATAGGTAAGTTGACGCTTCGGTTCAATGAGCGATATTAGCAGTGCAGAGTTACGGGCCTTGACAAATCTTCTGTTCTGATTTTGGAACATTAAGAAAGAATGATATATGATTTCCGATTGTTTGCATCAATTTCTTTACTCATCGGCAAACTTATTATTCATTCTGATCGATTCGTTCATGTTTCTTAACCCGAATGTGATTTACAATTCTAGTCGATATATACATAATAATAATAATAATAATAATAATAATAATAATAAAAATAATATACTGCAGGTACCCAGGTACTAGTATCTGCTCAAATTATTTGATAGTTGGTGACAAAGATCACTTTAGATATAAAAATATTTTTTTACTGGAAATTTGCTTTAGGTTTGGCATCAAATAATTGTAGTCAACATGTATAGGTTAAAAACTTGTGGCATTAGTAATTAGCAGTGAGGAATGCTTTAATATATGAAAGTATTAATACTGTGATATTGTGTAAATTTCATTTTCTGTGAAATTCATGTTTTATTTGGTGAGTCAGTGAGTGAGTTTTGGCTTTACGCCGCTTTTAGCAATATTCCAGCAATATCACGGCGAGGGACACCAGAAATGGGCTTCACACATTGTACCCATGTCGGGAATCGAACCCGGGTCTTCGGCGTGATGAGCGAATGCTTTAACCACTTGGCTACCCCACCGCCCCTGTTTTATTTGGATATGACTCACATTAGATTTCATTATTTGAATAATTTGGATAAATTGTAACTTTGAAAGTGAAGTAATTTTTTAATTTTAATTTTTAATTCTTTTATTCAACTCATTAAAATAATGTCTCAAGGGGCCTATATATATATGTGTGTTTATACTTTTATAATGGGCCAGTGGACTCAAATATTGTTTAATTTCCCAAATCATATTTTCAATTTTTCTGACATATATTATCAATATTTGGTATTTGGACATTACGAAACTCAAAAAGCTCACGTAACTTGACATAGTTGATTTCAGTTAATTTCTTTTTCATCACTTTTGTTCTCAATGAAAAAATAAAACGGTCCTCCCTCCAACATTAAATAGCTTGTGAAAAAAACAAGCCTTACAAATATTTAAAAGAAAATTATGCAGTCTGATGGAAAAGACTTTTCTCACAAGTAACTACAGTAACAACTGGCTGTCATATTGTGCAGTGTCTTTGTAATTTAAGGTTTTTATCTTGATATAAACTGACATTTAATCCCCAAAATAAAGTTATTTGATTTAAAATTATATATCTCCAAAATAGACAACATAATCTCCAAATGGAGCCCAGAACAATCTAGACTTGCCAAATCATTCTAGACTTGAGTTGGACTCTTTTTTCAATTTATTCGCTAGGGTCTGGGAGACAGTCTACTCTAGATACAGACTGAAGAAAAGCCTGCTCTGTTGGCATTGAATGTGTTTTGCCCACACACGCGTAGATGCAACACCAAACAATGGTCAGGAAGGACAACTAAAGAACTGCTGTATCTCCCAAAAATCTCTCTCTGTATGAATAGAATAGATGTTCCTCCTAGCCCTGTATTGTTTTAGTATATGATAGTAAGTCTGAAAATCGTTATACAGAAATGTACCCCATCTCACCATAATGCATGGTATGTAAACAGCTGAACAAGTCCATTAAATGAAGTTCAAAACCAATTTTGATTTCACTTGTACTAGGGCTGGGACGAGTCAAAATTTACTACCTGGGTGCCCATCCCCCTGTTACCCGACCCTACTGGGTATAGGTACCAATTGTCCAGTTGGGAATAGTTTGGCTGTAGCCCTGGCAAAATGTATTTAGATACACATAAATTCATACACTGAAGTTGACTTAAGTTTTATCTTTATTCAAGCATATGAAAGTCAGAAGGAATGCGTGCATAGTCAAAAAGAAATGCGAACATTAGTGACTTGTAGTGTAACCATAGAGTTCTAGATACGTTTCGCCATTAAACAATATATCATGTGATAAACCACGGGGCCGGGTATTCCTGTGGGTACCCGGATCCTACTCAGTACCCACCCGACCCGAGTTACGGAGTTACCCGTCCCAGCCCTAACTTGTACTGTACAATAAATCTTTGCATGCTGTGGTAATAGATTGTTGTAATGTCGTAAGACATTAGTGACTGTAGTGTCCACATGATATGAATTGTATTGGAACATATAACTCTCCAACTTGTGCAGCCATGATTGATTTAACCACATTTTGGCATTCAAGGAGTTAGGCATGGACTCCAGTGTCTTCACTGCATAATGCTGGAGTCCCGTGAAGATTCTGGGTGAGAATTGGTCTTCAGCAACCCATGCATGTTGTAAGAGGTGACCTGGGACGGGTGGACAGACTCATTGAGTTGGTTGATGCATGGCATCGTATCCCAATTGCGTGGATCGATGCTCATGATGTCAATCATTAGATTGTCTGGTCCATATTCTATTATTTTCATACCCCCGTTATGGCTGGAATATTGCTGAGTGCGACGTTAAACAACAAACAAACAAAGAATAGTTCAAGTTCTAGTATGCCAGACTGGTAAAATCCATCTTGGCTGTACATGTTGGAGTTGGAGAGTGTCTGAGTCTTATGCTAGGGATTTATCTAGAATTCCAAACTAAGTGGCCATAGAAGGCAATTTAGGTAAATCTAGTTATAGTTCTCAAACTTAGGACTTTTTCAGTTTAATGGGTTTTTTTTGTCTGGGGATTAATTATTTCAGAGCTCCAGATAAGCTTTTGGTGTTGTGGGTATTTTACCCATGCATTTCAAAATCATTGGGTATCAGTAATTCTATCTGATTATTCAAATTTCTGTTACCCACTAGTTTTTACACATGTGGGTATTTAAGTTAAATATTTAAAAACGCTATTCTTCTAGTCCCTGCAAACTGGTTTCGTGTGGGTTCGAGAGCTTTATAGGACTCAAAAATACCACGATACTTCCTCAAGAAAGTGTGATGGCAAATGATCATGATGTAACTGTCATCGTGGAGTTTGGCAAGGTTGACGGAATGCCCGTTTATAATTTCAAAATAAGTTGCTGATTTGTTAATCAAATACGCAGGGTTACTTCACAATATTTTGATGATACGCACAAGTTTTATTTTTGTAGCGTATCTGTAATGTTCGTTGCGTATTTGATACGCTTGGATTTTATTTTACTGCATATTTCTGCATTTTTGATGCGTATTTTACGCAGATACGCAGCTTATCTGGAGCTCTGATTATTTAAACATTGCATTCAATGCAACAATGTAAAGGTAAGCCTCTTCCTCTATTGAAAATCATGCAAAGAGCAAAATTCGGATTAGTTGACTCAAACACTAATTTTCTGGCACTGATGAACTACTACCAGTATTCAAAATGGCAGTAACTCCAACCAACTCACTCACTGTCATAGGAAAGGTTTCAGGACTGACAAAAAAATGAGTATGGTAAAACACAAAATTATGTTCCAACAGCAAGGTCAGAATGTCTATCTTTTAACCATAACTCGTTAAGCCATTAAAACTATTCACCCACCAATATGTATAAGTTTTTAAATAATTTTGGCCATTTGCCATTCAAAAGATTTCCCTATGTATGTGTCCAGACAACCATTTTAATCAATAGAAAAATAGCTGTTTCTAAAGGAAAGCTATTCAAAAACAAATTTCTATTCCAACGTTCATTGTGACGACGACCCTATTATCCACGCTGTTGATGGCGTGTTTGGAAGCTATTATCCTGCCTCGCAATCTAATTACCTGCATGGGCTGATAGATCTCCAAGGCAAACTGTTTAGCACAATTTATTCTGGCATTGAAACCTACAGTTAGAGTGTATTTTCCATTGTTCAGGTCCTGTTTCATTTTCAAGGGACTATGTTCACAGGACTTCCATGGTTTGATTTATGGCTTGTAAACGCGTCAGAGCAGTCACATTCAACTTGGCTGGAACTGTTATGGGACACATGTTGTTTGTGTTGGAGAGGACATGTAAACACTGTGGTAGACTTATTCCTCTTACGGTAGACTTATTCCTCTTACCTCAGCTGATAATACGATGGCCGCACCATAAATCACTTCTTATTAAAAGAATTTTTCATTTTTATGTACTGAATTCAATTTTAAGAGTTGAATTTGAGTAGCATTTTATTGACCAAATAAATCACTTGGATTTATGTTTACTTGTAGAAACATAAATACAACAATATTAAAAGATTTAATCTTATTTTTGGGCTCACTTTATTGCGAAAATTCCCTTTTAAGTTTTTATTGATAAGAAAGAAATATATTTGTAATCTTTGTGAATCACTGTTTGGAACAGATGTTGTATAACTGGCAGTTGAAATTTGGAAATAATACTGGGTTTTACTATGGAATACAGTTCAGAAGATATACCATACTTTATACATGTTATAAGAAGTATTAAATTATTGTTGATACAATGATTTTGAATTGAAATAACAATGTCATAGTTTTGTTTGAACAAAGTGTCAAGATAAGAATCTGACCTGTGAAGATCTGGGGTAGAATAGGTCTTCAGCAACCCATGCTTGCCGTAAAAGGCGACTATGCTTGTTGTAAGAGGCGACTAACGGGATTGAGTGGTCAGGCTCGTTGATTTGGTTGATGCATGTCATTGTATCCCAATTGCGTGGAAAGATGCTCATGATGTCAATCACAGGATGGGCTGGTCCAGACTCAATTATTTACAGACCGCCATCATATAGCTAGAATATTGCTGTGTGGGCGTTAAACAATGAAGAAACAAACAAAAGATAAGAATCTCATTTATGTTTTTTCCATGCATGCCTAAAACTTTGTGAAAGTAAAAACAAAAAGAGCATGATGATATGTATTGAAATTGTTTTATGTTGTGTTTCCAAATGTGTTTAATTGTTTTGACAAAGGGATCATAGGGAGTTTTAGCATTGAAAATCTATTAAAGAGAACTACCGGTAAACATGGTGCTGTAGCAACACCTAAGTGTTGAGTTAACTCTTGAGTTCTAGTATTAATGTATCCAGCTGGAACCTAACTGTTGTGACCACACTGTGGTATTTACATTTATTAAATATATTATAAAGATTGTCTTTAAATAATTAATTACAAACGAGGATATATCAATAACCACATGCGTTGTCATCAAAGGCTTCGGATCAGGTATATATAAGGTAGGCCTTTTGAAGGACTTTATGTCACAACCTTTTCAGTTGAGTCATATTTTATATAAAGTTTATGTTTAATGGAAGTTATTTGATATGATAAGAAGCAATTATTCTTTGAATATTAATAATGTGCAGGGAATTTTCTCAGTGTTTTGTGAGGCACGTATTCAGACTCAAGCCTCTCAACTTTCTGAAAAAAAATCACAAACTGGATGTAAAATTGTCCCAATTAAGGTAGCTTAATACTTACTTTTACAATATATTTATTCCTTTAAAAATAAGACAAATTTTGGACAAATTTAATGTTTTGACCAATTTACCTGTCACATGCACTTCATTGAAATTTGTTGATAAATGTACAATAATCTTTTCTTTTTTACACAATAAGTTTGCCATCCTCAAAATTTATGTTTCAAAGTTAATATAAATTTGTTCAGACATTCTAATTCATGTCAGTGTTCACAATTGATTGAGAATACTTCGGGTAATACAGATATTGTGAGGAGGCTTCTAGAACATTAGGTGTGAGACGTTGTTGGTCCAGTGGGTGAGTCTCTAGTGTACAAGGATCCACAGGTTCAAAACCCAGACCTGATTAGGATCCTTGGTCTGTCAACACCATAATCATTACTGGTAATGGAGTCCAGCTATCTGACTGGCCTGTGGCTGTCTTGTAAAATCCCATACAAGTCGGTCAACCTGCCTGTATGGACATCACAATGTCATAGTGTTTCATATGACGTTATCTGCTGTCATGTCATTATTGACCCAGTTCACATATTAAGTTACCCTACAGAAACACGAAAGACACTGGTGGTCATAACGCAGATCTGATATTGTCACACAAACATTTTACTGTACGTCTCTGTACGTAATGATAAGTTCAATACATGTGTCTCAAGTGGGGTGTAAAGGATTTAATGAGCTGAACATTTGTGTACATCCCTTGTCCAAAATTTGTGTCATTGTGTCCAAGCCTATTCAGCTCCAACTCCTGCACACCCTGCTTGTGACATGTGACTCATATGCCAGTACACACTGGTGACACCAAATTGTTAGACATGTCTCTCTTGATTTGGGTCTTTGTGGACAAAACAAGGTGACATAATAAAATAATTAAACTACTGTGAGTTGCTCATTTTACCACTTGTAAGGTCATGACATCAATCACTGGATTGTCTGGTCCAGACTCAATTCTTTTACAGACCGCCGTTATATAGCTGGAATATTGTGTTAACCAACAAACAAACTTGAAAACTACTTGATATGCATGAAAGTTTGACCTCCTCCATTGTTCCTTTTCAGAGATCACATACTGCAACATGCAACATTTTACATATGGTGGTGTCCTCGTAGTCTCACGTCTCCTCACTATATGGAACTCAGTGCATAGGATGCAGCAGTAGACACACTGACAAGCCCTCAAGGATAATCTGAACGCATTTGTCACCTCCGGAGACTTCATCATGGATGGGAAGGCAATTGTGTTCCGAGTCAATGAAGGACAAGGCCCTGAGCTCCTCAATCAGGTGTTCCTTGAGAAGGGCTGGCTGGAATATGACGAGACTACCCAGGATGAGTACGACTGGAATATCTGGTGGAGGACATCCAGGTTCAGGGCCTGTGATTACGAACACTTGATGCCATGGCAACGGTTGAATCACTATCCTAAATCCACGGGCATTACGAGGAAAGATTCTCTAGCTAGGAATCTGAAACGTATGAGAGGTGTATATGGAGCGGGTGTGTTCAATTTTAGCCCGATCGCTTTCAATTTACCAAATGACTATACTAGATATGTAGCAGAGTATAGCAAACTGAAGCAGAATACTGATTCGAAGACTCTTTTATGGATATGCAAGCCTGCTGATTTGTCACGTGGAAGGGGAATATTTCTTTTCAGAGAACTTTCTGAATTACAATATGACTGCAGCGCTGTTGTTCAGCGATACATCGCCAACCCTCTTCTTATATCAGGGTACAAATTCGATATGAGGATTTACGTTGCTGTTCCGTCCTTTCATCCATTGTCTGTGTATATATACCAGGAAGGGATTGTCAGATTCAGTACTGAAAAGTTTGATCTCAACAATATCAACAATGTCTTTGCCCATTTAACCAACACTTCCATCAACAAGCACAGCCCCAGTTATGGCACAGACAAAGGAAGGGTGGGACCAGGTTGCAAGTGGACTTTGAACCAACTACGCTACTATTTCCATCAAAACAACATCAAAGATGAAAAGATGTGGAAGAGGATTACCAACATTGTAATCCTAACACTCTTAACACAAGCATCAATGGTTTCCAAAGTGGACAACTGCTTCGAAATGTATGGTTTTGATATCCTTGTTGATGAAAACTTAAAGCCATGGCTCCTTGAGGTCAACTTTAGCCCGTCTTTGACCTCTGATTGTCTGGCGGACATCCTTGTGAAGAAACCACTGCTTCATGACCTCATGGACATGATGAACTTTAAGGATGCTGATGTTGAGCGTGGCGGTGAAGCATTTCATCGTCATCAAAGTAATAAAAGCCATTCAAGTCTTATCTCTGACCGAAATACTTCAGTGAGCAGGTTAAGCCGAGGAAGCGGTGTTAACAAGTTGCCTTCAGTTCCCAACAGTAGTAGGAAGACTTCAGCCAAAGGTGATCTTAATAGCAATGGGGACTACAGCAGAGGTTCTGGGTTCATGTGTATGGCTGATGGGGACGAAGAAGCCAATAAACCAATATTCGGCCTCCCTTTGGTTAACCATTCTGATGATGAAGGATATCCTTCTGATAATGATGAAAAGCCTCACACAAAATCACCTCGGACTTTGAAAAAGGGCAAATCTGAAACTAGTCTTCCAAAGAGTTCTTCCAGTGTGTCAGATTCCAGAATGAGAGATGGCTGCATACAGGACCCTAGGTCAGCCAGGTCAGACCATGCTTCGGCCATGAAATCAGGATACAAGCTACACAAGGTCCACAGTAAGGGTTCCTCAATATCGGACAGTGGAGTGTCTAGCTTCTCTGGCTGTAGTGAGAACTCAGACTTGATGCCGTCAAGACAAGGTCAGAACTCAAGAGATAGCATCCCACCACTGTTTCTTCCAATAGGGGCACCTGATTCCTCCTCTAATACTCCAGAGAATGAAAAGATTCCAAAAAGGACAGAGTCGGTTCAAAGAAAACCTTCTGTCAAGAGGTATGGATACGCAACCAGTTACAAGAAAAGCAGAAGAAGCCCCTTTAAGAGTGTGTCTCAGTTGACAACTGTTACAAAAGTGGGACGTAATGCCTTCATTGGCACAGCGAACAATTTTGAAGTTGGAAATCAAGCAGAGCCAGATGATGCAAGCCAAACAACGACCAGCTCTCCTACACCCACAAAATTCAGTGTCAGGCGTAGACAGTCACAGATATCTGTTTCAGACACATCTCAAATTCGCAAGAGCACGACAGTGCCTAGAAACAATGTCAGATCTCTCAATTCAGGTCCTTCTCCCAGTACACAGAAACAGTTCAATGGAACTAGAAAACCAGCCCTTCGGCCTGGCAAAAATCATTTTGGCCTCACAAAACCTCCTGTTTCTAAAGGACCAAAGGAGGTCATAGGGGATTTTTACTTAGTGTTTCCTTTCAGTGAGGTGACAAGGAAAGCCAGTGCTGCATCTCTTGATGCTCGGTTGATCATTCGTGAGACTCAGAAGCTTCAAAAGGAGTCTTCGGGGAAAGGTGGAGGAGCTAGAGAAGCACCTCGGATATGGGGACCCTTGAAGAACTTGGATGGTTCTTGATGACGGACTGATGGTGAGTATCTATTTATCATGTACATATCTAATAAGTTCCTTGAAGATTTTGAAAATCAGATTGATTGATTTTTCACAATTCTGTTGGTATGAGTGTAAAAACGGTGTGCACACGGTGTAGATTAGTGTAAATCAATTCTTACAAATAAGATACCAGTGGTACAAGTTCACCGACTTCTTATTTGATAATTAACAACAACAAAAATGTAGATAATACGAAATCAGGGCAATAATCTTTCAGGGCAAAAATGCAGCTTAAGCCCTGCACACTCCTATTATCAGGTAATCACGAAACAGCAGGGAACAGGTGTTCATGGGCTACCTTTTTGTTTGTAGGTTTATGGAAACAAAAACTATATTGCAATACATACAATATATTTATTTAATTTGATTTCTTTAAAGTGAGTGTCCCCTCCTGACAAGATGTAGAGATTCCCTCCCCTCACTCTAACAAATAAGATGGGAACCTACCCCTCTGCATCAGACTGACTACAGATTGTGTCAACATGCAATCACCTGTAGAGGAATGAGGTTCAGTTCGCAATAATGACTTTGCCCCATGAGTTTTAAAGGGGGACTATTATCAGTGGTATTTTACCCATTATCATTCAAGTCATGGTGTAATAATCAGTGCCATGTTTGAAATGGTAATTATTAACCACTAGATGCATAATAAAGTTGACAGATATAAAATAATGTTTTTACAGACTTCAATCCAACTGGCTGGGACTGCCATTTTGTCTGGGCCTAATCCCCCTTTAAGTCTAAACATATCTGAGGATAATTCTATACATAGGTATGATATATCCATGAAACTTATCTGGCTTACATGAGGTTAGCTTGGGTGATCTATAGGCAAAGTGTAGTTAATCCTTGGCGGTGTGACACAGCAGTTTCTTATCAGTGCACTAGAAAAGTACTTGTCTCTGTGTCCAGTGTAAGACATACTGAATGGGTCTAGATTCCAACTGTTTTCAGTTGAATTGATGATTTTATGGGAATGACTATATGTGTTGGAGCATACTAAAGATGAAAATACAAACTTCTTTTGGTAAATGGGTAAATGATTTTTACAGATAAAGACCTAAGCCTAAACAATCCCCATTACCTTAAAAGAAATTCAGGGTACACTTGGTTGTTAGTTTTCTGATATTTCAGTGTACTTTGTGTTGAGAACAAGACAAGCTTTTCAAGCTGTAGTCTACCCTGAGTTATTGAATTATTTTAGTTGTCACTCGTGAGCTAGGAATGTTGTAGTTGAATGTCGAGCACTATCATTAGATCTCTTGAGCTAATGCAGCTGCTATCTTGGGTACTTCAGACTTTTGAATTCATGTGTAAAAGAGTATCTCTTTTTGAATCTAACTTTCTGCACATAGCTTCTCATGTACTAGAAATTGATACATCAGGTTAGATTTTTTCTTTTGAATTAGATAACTCGGTATTACTGTATGAGGCTCGGATTTTTTTATATCATTGTTCATTTGAGCTTTGATATGTTGACATAACGATAAGATTTAACAAAATATTTTTTTTTTATTTGGCATGACATTTGTTTTGTTTGGAAAAAGTAAAGAATGTTTGAAGTAAAAAATGTTTAACATTTAAACTTCTGTGAAGTCTTTTTCTCTGGACCTGGTATCACCGGAAAGTGTTTGCAGTGGCCAGAGACTGCTTTTATGTGATCAGTCATGCGACATATATTATATTTGCTGCAGTTCATATGCTAACATGATTATGCATTTGCTAACAATAATCCTTTAAAAAGATAAAAGTTATATTTTATTATTTTTTGTAATCATATATTTATATGTTTCTATTCCTTCAAAACTGGAGCGAAATACGTGCAGATTGAAACTATTTTTAGTTCAATTTATTTTATGAGTTTGTACAATCAAGTTTTTTAGAAACTTTACCTCTTATTGAAGACCAATATTGTTCCAAATAAGTAACAGACTTCATGATGGAGTTGATAAAGTGTCTGCCCGGGGAGCGGCAGGTCCTGGGTTTTGATCATCTGGCTGCGTCATAGCAAAAGACGTTAAAGATGGTGTTTTATGTTGCCCTGCCTGGCAGTCGACATTAATGGTAATAACACAAGATCTGGGGGGCTTGGAGTCAGTATAATGTGTCTGCGGCATGAGTGTGTGAAATAATCTCCTGTTCAGTAGCGTGTAAAGTTTGGAAAATCCTTTGAATATCGTGATAAGAATAAAGACAGTCTGTGGTAACACTTGACTGATTGTTAGTTTTGTCATTAATTGGTACACATTGGAAACATTTCTTCTTAACGTACACACTTCTCTGTTTCTATGGTTCGTGTTCTTTTGGAGGTGAGTATATGTTAATCTTCCTCCCCAAACTCAAACAGATAATGTTCCCTTGAAAAATTACCGGTAGACCAATTTCTAAAAACCATAATATCTCTTGTTATTTAGAGGTCACATGTTACATGTAGAAAACAATTAATGCTGCGTGTTACAAATAGCGTGGGCTGTTTAACAGTGATGTTTAGACGACTGTTATTATCACAGCTATATTGCTAACCTACAGTCACATTGGCAGTCGTTTTTCATGGGTATAGGGTTTGCAAGTTGTACAAGATGGGGGTAAAAGAATTCTGACATTCGAAGGAAAACATATACCGTATTTGATGTAATAAGCGCCCGGGGCGCTCTCAAAATCAGAAATAGGGGGCTCATATTAGAATATAATTTTGGTTGAGTTGAAAGATTGTAAATTTCGTACTTTATGCTGACAGCCTGAAATGATACAAAAGAAAAGTATGTGCGTATCATACACGACAGATATATTTTCCAGGATTTAATTGCCCATGATTAAGGGTGCATATATAACACACGAGTGCGTATTACACACAAATAAGTTTTGTGTACATTGATCAATCGGAAGGGGTGCTAATTGGGATTGTTCACTAGCCAATATATTAGCAAATATCACCTTGGGTGCTTATTAGAGCGGGGCGCTTATTTCATTGAATACGGTATGATGTAGGAAAGGAAATTGCTGCCAAAATGGTTGTTAGATTTCAGATGGCTGATTTCTGATATGTCTGGGATGAACTGCAACATTTGGTGTGTTGGGTACGAGCTCTTGTCGCTAGGTCTGCATATTGAGTGAAGTTCTAACCTTGGAAATATATTTTCTCTCTCTGCTACCAGGTTTCTCCTTGTGTAAGTTTGGTACGATAAAAGATCTGGCTATTTAGAGTTGAAATTGGCTTGTAAAAGGGTGTCTAGCCAGCCTGGGTGGAAAGTGCTGTTGAAAGGCTATACCACACAATGTGCGATGGAGGATCTGAGTGAGCTAGCTCTATAATACTGGCATACGTCTGGACACACACATGCATGCTTGTCGCTATAAAGTATATAAGGAAAACATTTTTTTGCCGTTAATCACCTCACCTACTGTTTTTTATACCCTCATGTCAAACATGAACAGCTTATAACTTTTCTTGGGTAATCCCACTGAAAGGTTTGCTGGCGTAACTAATCTTTAATTTATGTTTGCCAATATCCAGTAGTATTAAGCAGAACTTCAGTAACATGTACAAAGCAAATCAAGTTTTCATTTTCAGAAGTATTTAAAATATCCCCCTGTCAAGGGTATAATAAATAGCGACGTGAGCGAGTCATTTTGACACCACTACAGCAGGTCCCGATGACATCTATACCCTGCCATGCACCGAGGTCACCTACCTCCACAGTTTAATCAGGACTAAATGTTGGAGAAATGTAATCATGAGAGCTTTCTCAGGTAATTGGAGAATTATCCCTTCACCTATGCTACTCAAATAAGGTTAAGGATCACCCGATTCTTTGATTTGTCTTGTAGGAAATATAGATATATATTATGTTTAAAATGTTGTTTCTCAATAAGAAGTTTTGAAAAGACAGTTTTACATAATCGTTTTTCCATCCAATGATTGATCAGCTGTTTCGCAAGTTCTTTCTGTCGGCGTACCAGTTGCCCAGGCATTTAATCAAAGCGGGCATCATTATTCAAGTATTCATGGTATGTGAGCTATTTGTCTAAAAGATGTAGATAGGATGACAAATATGGATGATGAGTAGAAGGTCTGTCCATTAAATTAAGGGCTGAGTCAGCTGTTCTTTATCCCCAGCCACGAAGTGGAAGGGGGATATAGGAATGGGTGCCGTCCATCCATGCATCCATCCTTCCTTCCGTCCGTATGTCTGTCACGTTTTGTTTCCAGAGCAGAACCATGAGAGATATCTTAACCAAACTTGGCACATAGATAGGCCTAGTGGTGAACTGGTGCCTTTTGATAGTTTGGGATTTTTGAAAAAAATTTTTTTGTAATTTCCCTGGCAACGACTTTGACTTGGACTGAAAATGGCGGCAGTGATCGTTTCCGGAGCAGATCTTGAGGACCGTGCAATATTTCTTCACTAAACTTGGCACATAAATAGGTCTAGTGGGAAAACTGGTGCCTTTTGATACTTTGGGTTTTAAAAAAAAATTATGTTTTAATTTTCCCAGGCAACGACTTTGAAAATCACCAAACTTGGTACAGATCTTGAAAACTGTGCAATATGTCTTCACCAAACTTGGCACATACATAGGTCTAGTGGTAAAATTGTGCCTTTGATATTTTGGGATTTAAAAAAAATTTAGACTCTGCCTTAACTGGTGCCTTTTGATAGTTTGGGAGTTTTTACGAATGTTTCCTTAGCAAGAGCAAAGCTCGGACAGCGTTTACACATGTCATATTGGCGGGGGATAGGAGTATTTCATGCTTGTAGTATTTAGGGTTTGTTTGAAAAAATGAAAGTTGGTTGAATGCTTGGAACTTTTTGTGTGATGGTATTCAGGAAATATTGGAACCTATATCCTCAAGCGACAAAATACTTGAATTATTATCAGCTTAAATTTTGTTTGGGATAACATTAGATTGAATACATGAGAGTCCCTCAAGCAGACATAAACAGTTCATGTTTGTTATTCATTGAGACTGAAAAG